GAGACAAATTTTGCTGTTTTACAAGCATCTCTGTAGTCTCGTTCTGACGCTGCATCACTTGATAAAGATAAAGATCTATTTCATTCCTTTCAGGCATCTGGTGGTGTTGACTTGGGTCTGGTCTGTAGTATGCTGTACTTGTACCAGCCTCTCTACCTCTTGAAGGAGTTGATTAAGAGTCCTAAATTGCTCCTATAGCATGGGCCGGCTGGGCTTTCTCAAATGATCTGTCTCTATACTCTTTGTCCAGTCCTGAGGTTTTGCTGGAACTTGTCTTGGTCTTGAAATACTCATGCTTGCCATCCAAAGTGTCCACATATTCTCCAAACACCTTTAGCTTAGCACTGGATACTGCAATAGCAGTCTCTGATTCCAACTGCTCCTTTTGAGCTTTCAGCTGTACTTCTTCAAGCTCGATTTCTTGTTTCTTCTTTAAAGATGCTGCCTTGGCTAACAGAGCTGCGTGTTCTGCTTCTTCTAGCACATGTGCCGAAATTGTGGAGCTTTTAGAGGAAACTATTGAGTCATTTCCAGTTACGGAGCGATGTTCACTTGTATCTTCAGATACTTCTGTGAGCCACTTTTCCATGGGCTTTTCTGACTCTATATGGCCATAGGCACCCTGGCTAGGTGCCAGCGCCGTCGCTCTCCCGCCAATACCGCACTTTCCTGCTCGACGTGTTCTCACGCAGCTTCGTGCCTTTGTGCTGCCTTGTACTATAGCTGACTTTGCCATGTCGTCCATCATCTTGTTTTCTCAGTGCACAACGAGTTGCAAAAGGTTTAAAAACTTTGAGTTAGTCAAGGAAAATAACCTTTGCAGATCCGTTCCTAAAATATGCACTGTCTTGGCTTGGCAAAGTGAATACAGCTCACAGTTCTGTTTATGTAACTAGCAGGCTTCAGTAACTCATTACCGTTTGCTTGTCTTTCACTCTTGGTAACAATCTTTTCTCGTACATCTTAATGGTATCTTCTTCTTAGACAAGAACTTGTTGCCTCTGTGGTGCCACCGCAGCGGAGCAGCTCGGCCGGCGCTACCCTCTCCTCGCACCCCCCCCCCCCCCACGAACGCACGCATGCACCTCCGTAGGGTCTCAGGGAGGGATCACCTGGTACGATGGGTTTTCACCCGAGGACCCCACTAGCAGGGACGTTCCACGGTTTCCCCGGACCAGGAAATTGGCTGAGCCCCCCAGACCGGATTACATGGCGGCCCCCCCAAAAAGGGGGCATAGAGCTTTACAGGCCGGCCGCGATGAAGCATACACAACACAGGGGGATGGGACCTTCAGCCAGTACCCAGCGGCAGGGTAAACAGCGGGGTGGGAGGGAAAAGCCCCTAGGCAGATATGAGTTGACTTAAGTTGCAGGGAGCGAGGAGATTATCGATGAGTCAACGGCGAGGAATGCAGGCACAGAGACAATGGGAAGGGGGGAGGGGATAAGGGGCTTTGGGGACATAAGGGGGCCGGAGGGGGCGGATTGGATCAGAGTTCTTCTGGCGCGGTGGAATAGACCAGCCATTCTCAGCATCCGTGCGACGCATGCAGGGTGGAGCTGGAAACGATCGGCCAGAAAAAGTCCCCAAGGCGAGCATCTTCCCCAGCCCCCACCGGGCAGCTGAAGAGGTGAGTAGGTACAGGAAGGGGGGCCAATTCAGTCCAGCTCGCAGTCAGCTCGAGCTTGGGGGATAGACGCACTCTGCGACGGCTAGGTGATAGGAGGTTAGGTGCGGTCCGAAGGGTGCTGGCTGGAGGGGGCCAAAAACGGGGGTCCCTAGTTGCTCCGGGAAATAAATCTTAGCACAGACTGACGTTGTGACGCTTGGTGCATGTGTGAAGAGCGGTGGAACAGTGATCGGCGTGCGACGGTGTGTGGGTGACTATAAATCAGTGTGGGTGTGACGCGCGCGCATATAATATTAACGGTTGCCCGCGCCGGCGCATGTATAAGCGCGCACCGCAGTGCTAACGGTGGGACACGCGCGAGTGTCGCACGGAGAAAACGCGTGGGTGGGGGGGGCTGCGTGAGCGCCGATTAATTTATTAATATCCGAACTGCGCGGGAGTGGTCGCCTTGTTGACACAATGGCTTAGTGGAAATAATTAACTAAACCAAACACAGCGAGTCAAACAATTACGTAATCCACGTAGTTAGGACACGCGAGTGGGGGAAGGCACGCGCGTAATCAACCCCTAGGCAGGGGCGGCCAGCCGCTAGTTATGTCGGTCCGAGAGGACCCTGGTACGGGGGGGCCGGTCACCCGCTCGGGGGCGCGGGGGACCCCGAAAGACACAAACGCGGAGGGAACGGGGGTGGGGGAGGTAAACATCGCACCCCCCCCCCCGCGCGTGGAGGGGGGCATCAGCCTCCACCAATTAGACGTGGCGCCCCCCCCCCCCCCCCGCTCGTGGTGAGTGAGAGGGAGATCAGCCCCCACATAATGGGGAGTGGGGGGGGGCAATCAGCCCCCACACCTCCTTGTTAGTGAGACGTGAAGAGCCGTTCTCTCTTCTTTCTTGCACGGCTTTCTTCCACGTGAGTAGGAGTCTTTTGACTTTTGTAGGTTTCTTCCACATGAGTAGAAGTTTTTTGACTATTGTAGGTTTCTTCCACTTGAGTAGGAGTCTTTTGACTATTGTAGGCGCAGCTTTCTTGTACCAGAACATAAGCTACGCCCTTAAGTTGTGGGAGAAAAAAGTCTGACGCGTGTTTGAGGTGTCATAAATCAAACTCTTTCTTTATTTCTTAGTTGCACAAAAACGAGCGTTTTCTAAAGTTATATCTTCGCCTGTTCACGTACTGTATCACCTCGTCGCACGTACTGTATCACCTCGTCGCACGTACTGTATCACCTCGTCGCACGTACTGTATCACCTCGTCGCACGTACTGTATCACCTCGTCGCACGTACTGTATCACCTCGTCGCACGTACTGTATCACCTCGTCGCACGTACTGTATCACCTCGTCGCACGTACTGTATCACCTCGTCGCACGTACTGTATCACCTCGTCGCACGTACTGTATCACCTCGTCGCACGTACTGTATCACCTCGTCGCACGTACTGTATCACCTCGTCGCACGTACTGTACCACCTCGTCGCACGTACTGTACCACCTCGTCGCACGTACTGTACCACCTCGTCGCACGTACTGTACCACCTCGTCGCACGTACTGTACCACCTCATCGCACGTACTGTACCACCTCGTCGCACGTACTGTACCACCTCGTCGCACGTACTGTACCACCTCGTCGCACGGTCAAAGGACTGTATCCACTCGCTCCCCATCGGCTCTTCTCATAGCCCCCCGTTTATACTGTAAAAACCGGAATTGACGTCATGGGTTCAACCAACGGAGCGTCTAACCACAGGGGGGTTTCTACACAGTTGAGATATTCCAAATCAAACATAACCAGTCCGTCAACAAATGTATGATGGATGTACATCAAATCTATATACAGAAATAATACACTCACTTTCTGTCTTATGGCTCTTACACCCCCCTCAAATAAGATGTCACAAAGCTCTGCCCCTCCCAAAACCATATTTCCATTTTGAAAATAAAACATGCTTCAAATCACTTTCAACTATTGTCATTGTCGTGCGTATTTAATGTGTCACTGCACTCTGATGTTGTAGGAGATACCATTTATTAAAAAGTCTACTTAATTAAGTATAACGTGTTGTCTATATTTATTTAAAGTTGCGCATTTTGATGTGACGTCATATTTCCCCCCCCCCCCCCTCGTCACACATCGTCACAAATGTCTGACCCCCCCCAGGTGCGTGACGTCATTTATGGACGGCCCCCATGATAATAGGGTTTCCCCCTTTCTGGCAATAAAACAGGTGTTCAGATGTTAAAACACCAAACCGAAACATTTGCAAGGAATCATGTCTGCATTAACCACATATACTTGCGGTGAAAACGCAAACAAAAAAGCATGCCCTCACAGTATGTGCATTGTCTTTGAAACTGATTGGTCCACACCAGAGACAACTTTCTTTAAAGCCTCGTCTCAAACGGTGTTAGACCAGAGGATGGACGCCAAAAGACGAGCAGCACAAAGACAACGTCACTACCAGGACATTGAGAGCTCGGGGTGAGCAACTACATCACGAGACCTCCTTTGCCAGTATTACATTATTGTCTTTTGTGCTGTTCGCCTGTTGGCGTCCTCTGGTCTCTATATATGTCTGTGTTTAGATGATTAATTTGGGTTTAAGGGAAAAACCATGAGCAATTAGTAATTTATGTCAAAATCTCAGGTGCGCAATTAAACCGCAAATCGGATAAACCACATGCAGATAGTCGAGAGAGTTTACTGCAAGGCCGTAGCTATGGAGTCAACATTGGGGGGTCCAAATCTTCCAGGGGGTCTGGAGGTCCCCCCCCTCAGAAAAAAAATCTAAATTTAAAAACGAATTTCCTGCCTAAAATAAAAAATTCAGTAACACATAGGATGGACTTTTTATTTATTTTTTACAATAATGTCTAATAGTGTTTTGTATTACATTGCTCTGTTTCTTCTTTTTTACCTTTTCTTGTTTCATTGTATGTAATGGCAGAGATTAGGGTTTGATAAAGTACAACCATAACCACAATCATATAAACAGAAATATATTTTATACCAATATATTGGGGGGGACATTTTGAGCATATTTGAACATATATTATAATTACGGCCTTGGTCTACTGGACAAATAAACCACCACTCACACATATCAGTTGCACACAACCTAACCGCACATCATCAAAGTCGGGCCTACTTCTTCTTTCGTACGGCTGATGTAGATGCAGAGGAACTATAATTTCACATTCAAGGTGGTCAAGCCAGACAACCGCATTAGGAGCAGCAGAGTGTATCGCTGTGATGTTTTCTTCGTATTTGTGGATCGGGGCATTGCGTCGTTATATGTTGTACTGTCTGTTCTGGATGACCACAGTCGCACAACTGAGGGTTTTCAATTTTCCATTTGTGCATCAGGTATCTGCATCTAGGCGAAGAACCCCCGGGGCCGGCCCAGGACATGCTGGCGGCACGATGTCGCTCGGCTGGCCTGGGATCGCCTGGGAATTACCCTGGAAGAGCAAGAGTCCGTCGCCAAGAAAGGGAGTTCTGGACCACCCTATTCAGTATGATACCGCCGCAACCCTCACCAGAACAAGTGGATTGAGAAACTAACGAACAATATCTGCATCTACGTTTTAGGGTTGACCAAAACTGGGGGATCATCTGCGTTGGGTCTTTCACAAGGTGTTTGCAAGTTCTTATGAATTCCATTCAGCTTTCCAAGCTTCATCACGGTTGAATTCACATTGTTGAAGGTTAAGCGAATGGGTCCCAAAGGGCTATGGAAAAACCCTGGATACACCTTAAATGTCCCCTGCATTGCAGAATGATATTTTATCTGCAAATGGAACGGTCTCGTTACCTGTGTGGATGTTGACTTGTTAATTATAATGATAAGTTGTATTATTCGTTTTACCAGTTGCAGTCATTAAGGTATGCCTTGAACAAAATTCATCAGCCAAAAGGATATTATTTGATGTCATGTCTTTTATTCAACAAAACTGCATAGTAGTATACCTTACACAACACCGTGAAAAATGTCCACAGTAACACATTTCATCATTACAACTGATATCCCGCACCTCCGATTAGCACAGTTAGCTACATACGGTGAGAAAGAAGTTCAATATACATACATATCCAATGTGGGTCTGCCGCAAGCGAGCTTTCATCCCGGTAATGCAAGCTGGCCGGGTGGCTCACAAGTCCGGGTATTGAGCCGGTACCATAGAACCTGGGTTCGAATCTGGGATTAATCAGGCCGTCATTAAAACGGGTTCTCAACTGGAGTGAGATGGTCTCAGTCTAGCCACCAATAACTGTACATTAAAAAAACCCCATCACAAAAAAATAGATTCAGCACTTAATTTGGCTAAATGTAATTCTGAAAATTAAAATGTTTCACTAAGTGGAAACATGGTAGGGAAAACCACTACCACCTTACCCTCTACTGTGTGCACCATAGGCCACGAGGATGGATTTGATCTGCTCAAGTAGACCGTTCTCTGGCACAAAGGGTTGCACTTCTATGTGAGAGTTCTGAATGGATTATTTGCTTCATGACCTGATACTGATAGCACAATTATTGAAAATCAGAATATGTATTTATACTGGAGGAATTCGATAAGCTAGCACTTTTTCACAGATGTTCAGTAGTTTTCACAGATGTCCAGTAGCACAAATCAATTATGCACAAATCAACAATCGTATTTCTTGTACCACTATTTCTGCTCAAGGCTTGTGCGTGCGCTGGTGATCTGTTAAGTGATGACTGCGCGAGAAGCTGCTGTTGCAAATATCGCAACGGTAGGGCTTCTGCCCCGTGTGCGTGCGCTCGTGGACCTTCAGATTGGAAGAATGCGAAAAGGACCGGTTGCACATCTCGCAGTGGAACGGCTTCTCTCCGGTGTGTATGCGTTGGTGATATCTAAGAAGTGAGAGCCGCACAAAGCTCTTCTTGCACACTGTGCACTCGTATGGCTTGTTCACCAAGTTAACATTCCCGTTCACTTCCAGCGACGTTAACGTGTCCAGCTGGTTAACTGATCGGTCGGCCTCTTCAACAGCAGGATCCTGCCGACTCCTAGGCAAATCCTCAATGGCGTTTGGTGATTCCTGTCGCCCGTGATAGTGTCCAGTTTTTGCAGAATTATTATCCGTACGCATTTCACTTCCAGTCCTCTGCCGATTGTGATACTGCTGCAGCCGTGAACACGAAGCAACTTTTTCGAAATTTGTGAAGTTCAGTCCCATCCCTTGTAGTGAAACCACGTCTTGCACGATGAACCCCGAATTTTCTTCAATGCCACTAGCACCTGTGTGGGGGAAAACAATACAAAAAAATGTGTTGTATCTATAGGCCTTTTCCAAAATTGATATTAATAATACTTGCCGATGTGTTTTTTTTATTATAAATAAATAAATAACACCCGCTACGACAAGGACCAGCAAAAAGCAGCTGGAGATCTAAAAAGGCTGTAAAAATATTAATAATAAACTCCGGGGCAAAGGGAGGTTAGTGACTATCTGCAAAATATCTAGATTGCCAAAGGACAATTCACAAACAAACCTATTTGATGTAACACAGCCGCCCCGGGTCACCGAATGGGAAGGGGGAATTCCAGGCTTCAGGGACCCCCCCCCCCCCTTCGTCAGCCCGCAGACAGAATGACGCCATACAGAAAGAGATTTAAACATATTACCCTTCTTTGCTATTAATACGAGGGTTAAAGTTTAGAACTTAGTAAATAGGTCGACATCGTGTATGTATGCGGACAGGGAGCAAAAGTATAAAACCCTTGGAATATCGGAGGTAACATCTAATGATGAACTCTTAAATCACAAATCTTGGGGACAGAAAATGCAGAGTTACATCAAGGGTTATCGAGAAGGAATGAGGCGGAATGGGACGAGCTTACACAGCCAAGATAGACTGTGTTCCATAGGAAGGAGCCTCCCGGCCGTCTTTGTCTTCCCGCAGCGCGGGAGAGCCAGAATGTAACACCCTTCGAGATCAAAAGGAGGAAGGGGGTGGGAAGGAATTTCCAGGACGGTGGAACAACCGGACAGACAGGATTTGATTACTTTTAATTAACAGAAAGTCCAAGGGAAACTTAACAACAAGAATAAGCTGACATTATAGGAATAATCTCGGGAAACATAAACCAAAATGATAATGATGCAGGGTTAAACCGAGGGCCAGCCAGAAAGAGAGAGAGCCTCCCAGCCGCCTTTGTCTTCCCGCAGCGCGGGAGAGCCAGAAATGTAACACCTTGAGGAGGGCGACGGTGATCACAGGAAGGGGGAACAGATGGCTCAATAAAATGACATGCACACACACACGGACACACACGAACACACGGACTACACCCCCCCCCCCCCCCACAACGCAGAGTGAGCATCTGTTTTTTCCTCTCGCAAGAGACGCGCAGAGGGGGGAGATTTTTCGGATAAAACAGCAGCACGACACACACAATAGCGCTTTCGACAGTTCAACAAGGCACAGCTCGGCGAGCGCCAGAAGAGGGCGGCGAGCGGCAGGGTCCAAGGGGCCCCGCGATCAACCGAGGATGGCGAGGCTGGCAGAGTAGCGTAATTAAATCAATTAACATACATTCGGATAATTACGCAAACTTCAAATTTCATTTAATTTTGATTATTTTCATAAAAAATTTCATAACCGACATACACAACACCAGAAACGTGGAGAATTCCTCCTGTTTCGAGTCATATTTACTGTAAAAAAATGGGCTTGGGCAGTACACGCTGCTAAAACGTATAAGGGCCGGTGGTCGAGGCTAAAAAGAGTGGCAGCCAAAGCAGGCAACACGTCCGATATGATGCCCACCATGGAGATGCAGCGATGAAATCATCTCGTGTGCAGGAGTTTGATAGACTTTCATCGCGAGACTCTGAGAGATGGCGATGACTTTCGAAAACCTTAACCCATCGGTGGATTGATCATGGCTGATGGTGATGATGAAGAGCTAGAAACATATCTGTGATATGACTGCAAATATTGGAAAAATTGTTCAAACGTGGGCTCTATAATTCGGTTTTACCTTCAAGGGCCTCTGTCTTAATTGTAGATGATTCATCCACAGCGTTCGAATCTCCCATGTCTGCAAAATAAGTTAAACATACATACATACTTTCCCTCAAGAAAACGGTAATGGTGCACTTTGCTGTGGACTCTCAAATCAATGTGCGCTTCTCCGATGTGTTTTCGGTTTGTATTGCGTGTTCGGCATTATGAACTTTAGGACGTATGCATTCCCGCCGCAGTACAGAGAGCAGAGTGACACACAGCACAGATACAGACAGTGATAGACAGATAGAGATATAGAAACACAAAGAGGTGAATGTTGCAGCAATGGTGCAGTGGATTAACACACTAAGCTAAAAACCAAGCCCTGAGTTTGATTCACAGCCATGGCTTTTACTTGTGTCGTGCCTTATTGAAGACGGAGACTTGTTCTTTGGAGGCAACACGTATTTATTACAGACACTTCACTCTACAGTGGCTAATCTGATACTTGAAGAGGTAACGGCCTCTTCACCCGTACTCTATAGAGGGAATGTTTCCCGAGTCTATCTGACCTGGGCCAGCTTCGGCGCAGGTCCCGATCACCAGCCACACGAGTCCGGCCCTCAAAAGGACATCGGGCCTCGTGGCTCTGGTGTCGCACCCTGGCTTGCTTTGCCCGGCCCTCAAAAGGACTGCGGGCCAAAGGAGTTCCAGGGTCTAGCTAGTTGATCTTCTTTCTTCACTGGCTCTTCATCTTGCTTGAGTCGAACTGCCCCTCAGCTCTCCAGGTCCCCCCTTTTATGCTGTCCCTCACTGAGGGGCGGGGCTGGGAGGAATCACAGTGTTCCCCACAGCCCCCCAGGGTGGTGGCCGTAGCGGACGTGTGTGTGGCCACCGCCCTACAACCGCGTGTCCCCCTCTCGTAACACCTCTACATCACCCCCCCCCCCCTCCGTACAGCCCGCAGCCGTCCCGGCTGCAACAACACTCAACAAAAAAATAAAAACTGTTTAACAAGAACCCGAATTTCGTGTGCCTCAATAACAAGAACAGAACAACAACAACAACAAATTACCCCAACCCACCTGTACAAATAGACACTATACACAATATATACAAAAAAATATATATCCCCCCCCCCCCCCCCCCGGCACCGGAACCCGCGATGCAACGTAACCGACCCGACGCGTAGTTCGTGAGGAGAAGAAGAACGCTTGGACAGTGAGCAACCACCCCTCACGAAAACCGGCGTGATTTAGCCCGAGTCCAACTGGTTGGCCCGTTGTACGGGGCAGGGAATGGTGGTCTGAGGGTTGAGGCAGGCAGCCCCTGAGGGCACAGTGTGGGCTGCCTGGTTCCATGTTCATTGTCCGGCTCCGGTGGCCGATGTGTTTTGTCAGCTGTCAATTCCGGTGTGCCTGGAAGTGGAACAGGCAGTGGCATGTGAAGATAAGGTGACGGTACCACATTCCCCGAGTCGACGGACACATCACATGCTCGGCCACTAGGACATCCATGGGATGTATGCGGTGAAATGAACGGTTTCAGTCGTGAGGGGTGAACATACCATAGCCGTATCCCCCACTTAATCCGAACACATTGTGGCCGTGCGACCTGCACAACCTCAACCGGCCCTCTCCATGGCTTCAGCAGTTTAGGGGATGTTGCCAACGGTACCTGCAGACGGTGTAGCCATGTCTTATCGCCAGGTTTCCACTCGTGGGTGTGTGTGCGGTGTGCACGCAACTGCTCGTTCGCCAATTGGCGAGAGCATGAATGCTGTGCCGCAGCCTCCCGTGCCTCGGCCAATTTCAAAAGGTTGAATTTTACATGATCGGCCAACTTGGATTTAGGGTGGGGCACCGAAATCCCCAACTGGTCATCCACGGGCGGATCAGCATCCCTGCCGTAAATCAGGAAGAAGGGGGAATACCAAGTTGCCGCGTGGGGAGCCATCCTATAGGCGGCAAGAACACCTGGGATTTGGAGGTCCCAATCGACCTGAGACTCGCACACCTGATGGCACAGCATGGACGTGAACGTCCTGTGGAGCTGCTCCACCATCCCGTTCGTCTGCAGGTGGTACGGGGAGGTACGCACTTTCTTTGTTCCCAACAGGTTGCACACCTCACGCAGTAAGGGAGCTCGAGAAATTATTTCCCTGATCGGTCAGCAGCCGCTCCGGTGCGCCGTTGTCCAGGACATAGCCCTGGACAAAGGCCTCGGCGATGGCCGCTGCCAACTGGTTAGCGAGTGGCCAGGCCATGGGCCATCAAGTTAAATATTTGACGCCAACCAGCAGGTACTTATTACCCCTAGGCATTGCCGGGAATGGCCCCAAAATGTCGAGCCCGATGAGCTCATTGACACGAGAGACTCGAATGGATTGTAACGGTGGAAGCCGCTTTGGCTGGCGGTTTTCGCTGGGCGCACTGCACACATCCTTTGAGAACAATCGACACATCCTTATCCATGCCCGGTCAGAAGAAGTCAAGGAGGAGCATGACTAAGGTCTTGTGAAACCCCAAATGCAACAGCCGCTCGTGAGCGGCCAGAATGACCCTACCCCGCAAGGCGGACGGCACAACAATTCTGTAATGGAGGGCTTTTCCATCCCAATTCATAAGGAGACCCTCCCGCATTATCCAAGAATCGACCCTTCTCCGACCGTCCGTGGAGCCGCCAGCCTTACAACGTAGCGTGAGGAGGGACGCGTCCCCCATTTGGAGCAGGCCCCAGTCAGCGAGGGTCAAATTAAGTAACAAATCCCCACCCGTTTGAGAGAGAGAGCTACCCGGAGCCGGTGTGTCAGCGGCAGCGGCCAAAACAGTGGACGGGACAACACATTTCGGTTTGCAACGTCCCGATCCAAGGAAACATGCACATTCCCCGCCGACTGGCAGTCACGACAGGGCATCAGCGTTTGTATGGCGAACACCCTTTCGGTAAGTGGTCGTGAATTGGTAGTCCTGCAGGACTTCCAACCATCGAGACAGTTGTCCCGATGGCTGGTCAACACGGAGTGCGTATTGTAATGTCCCGTGGTCCGTATGGTTAGTGAAGTGCTGCCCGTAGAGATACGGCCGATACTGTTGGATAAAAAAACCGATAGCCAATAGTTCGCGACGGGTAATGCATACCGCTGTTCTGCCGGAGATAAAACCCTGCTACCGTAGGCGACAACACGTTCGACTCCTCCAATGACCTGCGAGAGCACTTCGCCAATGCCGGTGTTACTGGCATCCGTGTCGAGCACAAAGGGTGCAGTGAAATCAGGGTAACACAGGAGCGGAGCACTCACGAGGGCGTCCCTGAGGGAGCGGAAGGCGGCCTCCTTCTCAGGACCCCAGCAAAATTTTAGGCCCTTTGCCGTCAGAGTGTGGAGGGGCTTGGCTATGGTGGCAAAGTCTGCAATGAACCGTCGATAGTATGAGGCAAACCCTATGAAGCTACGAACCTCACTGACCGAAGTGGGCGTAGGCCAGGAGCTGACGCACTGAGTTTTAGCGGGATCAGTGGAGATACCTGAACGACTCACTATGTGCCCCAAATACCGCACAGATTCCCGGAGGAGGTGGCACTTCTGTGGCTTGAACTTTAATTTAGCGGACCGCATTTTCAGGAATGACATCGTCCAGGTAAATTAAACAGGTATCCCATTGGTGACCGGCCAAAACCAATTCCATCAAGCGCTGGAATGTCGCGGGAGCTGAGTGGAGTCCCATGGGCAACCGATTAAACTGGAATAGGCCCAAGGGTGTTCTAAAAGTGGTCTTGGGTTTTGACTCCTCGTCCAGGGGAAGTTGCCAAAATCCTGATAGCAGGTTTAACGTGGAGAAATATTGTGCCCCCGCCAAGGCGTCCAATGATTCGTCCAATCTGGGGAGTGGATATGCATCGGCCACAGAGATCTTATTCAGGCGACGAAAATCTACGCAAAACCTCAGAGACCCATTGTGTTTTTTGACGAGCACGATCGGGGCCCCCCATGGACTGGTGGAAGGGGAAATGATGTCCGCCGACAGCATGTCATTAACAGCCGATTTGACATGCTCCTTCTTGGCGGGGCTTAACCGGAAAGGATTTTGCCGGATGGGGGTGGCGTCACCCGTGTCAATATGGTGACGTAGCAAGTCGGTGCAACTGATATCATATTTGTGGTTGCTAAAAAGTCAGAAAATTCAAGCAACAGGGCGCGCAGTGCAGCAAGTTGCGAACCGGACAGGTCACTGGATTCAGAACAAAGTGAATCCAACCACCCCTGATCCCGGCTTAGTTCCGGCTGTGGAGTGGGACCGTCATGCACATGCCCAATCACCGGTTCTGCCATTGGTGCCGACGACGCGTGAGCGAGCACGGTCCCCTGTGGGACCACAGCCGTTTGAGGACCCGCATTTAGAACCATGATGAAGGGATCCCTGTCTGCCTGCACTATCGTCTGAGCCACCAACAACTACAGCTCCTTCACTGCTCCGTTTCATAAACCCAATTGGACCCCATGTGGTGCTACCCCTATGCCGAGAGGTTTTTGCTTGTACAGTCGCAGCGGTTGTGCGCATACCGCTTGGGGAAACCAAAAACGCTATGCGGCGGCCCGAAGGAAGTTCAATACAGCCCTGATCAATGAGGATCTTAATCGGCATTTCAGCCAAAAAATCCGTTCCCAACAAACATGGGACTGCGAGAGAGGATGAAACCAAGACTGGCCCAGATAGCTTAATATCGCCAATTCAAATTCTCGTCCGGATTTGACCGATGATGCCCAAGGATCCTGCATTTGCCGCATAGCACGGGACGTCAACAGGCAGTAATGGTCGACATTGAACAGGGAGTATGTTATAGATAAGGTCGGAGATAATCGTTGCCGACGCCCCAGTGTCAACCAGTACCCGAACCTCGACTCCCTCAATTGAACCCGCAACCACAGACGATCCGGCCGACGCAGCAACCACCCTATGAGCCAACTCGGACCACTGACCCGGACCGAGCGCTCGTCCAAACGCACCACCCCTCACTGAACTGGCGCCCGTGGTGCGTGATGTGTCATGTGCGGCGCGGTGAGTCGTGTGTAGTGTGTGGGGGGGCCGAGCATGTGTGGTGCCGCGACTTGCCGGATATTGTTGGGATGACTTGGAAGCCTGGGCGTCGTTCGGCCGAGGTCCTGGTGCACGCAGCCGTGGAGCCCGGCACCCCGATGCAACATGGCCTCGGAGGCCACATTTGTAGCAGGTGACGAGGGCTGACGATGGTCTCGGTTGCTCCAGCTTGCGCGCCGGATACTGAGGCTGTCGGCCACCCGACCTCCAATCCCCCAGACGAGTCGCAGCGAAGACCTCCTCCGATGGCTGGGCGTCTTGGGGCTCGCTGCGCTCCGAGGTGGAGGCGGCAGTGATGAGAGGCCGGTTCCGCTTCAAGACTTCGTGACCATGAATGTTCTTGGCGACCCGCAACGAGCATATGTCCGCATCATCTGCTGCCAGGACAACGATGCCCAGCTCCTGGGCCAACACTAGGAGCTTCTCCGTTACCATGGCATCGATGCCTTCGCAGTCCATCCGCGGAAAAGCCGCCTTAGCGAGGGCCAAAAGAGCTGTGCGGTAGGCGAGAGGCATTTCCTTCGCGCCCTTCCTCCATTCGTGAAAATGGTTGCGACTCACAGATGGCGGTCAGTAGACAGTGGCCATCAACTGGAGCGCTGCCTGCAGTGTAGAGCGACGCGATCTCGGGGCTGACACTAGGGTAGCCAGAGCGTCGTCGTCCATAGTCGCTGGGAGGGCGCGCAGCGCCTCATCGTCGGACCAGCCCGACATCTCTTGGTGGGCGAGGAAGCGTCGTTGGAAGGCTCCCCAGTCGCCTGCGTCAGCTGTGAACGCTGTTAAAACGGACAGTTGCTGCTGGAACGTCTGCTCCGTCGCTTGCCGATGATGGTCCCGTACAGGACTCTCGTACAGTGCAATGGTGGCCCCCTCCGTAGGTCGCACCGCTTCTGGCGCGGAGATTCCTGGTTGGCTACGGCCGTGGCCATCGCTTGGGGATGACGTGGCGAGCGGTGGTTGGGTGCCGCCTCCCACGTGGCGTGCCCGGCCCCTGCCACCCCCGGAGTCCACCCCGGAAATGGCACCAATTTCAATTTGCGGCGCCGTGTTAATGGCGGGAACGGTAGTTTGCCGCCGATTCTCCCCCCTCTCTCCCACCCCCGCTCCTCCCGTATGGGTAATTTCTTTAAGTATGGAGGCGGCGGCGAGAAGTAATTCGGCGAGGCGGGAGTGAGCATCCCGAAGCCCATCCCCCGACTGTGGCGGCGTGCCCGGCGGCTGCTATGGCTGTTGAAGCACCGGCATCGCCCCAGGTTCCGTCTCCGGCTCGTGCGGACCCGCCTCTGCAGGGTCGTCAACTTGGCCTGATTCGCGCCCACGAACTGTGCTCCTCATGTCCATTGTTGGATATGCACCTTTTTCCAAAATTAATATTAACAAGAAATTAACCGATACACCTATATATATTTTTATGAATAAAACATATAAGAGCATAGTAAACTGAAAAACAACACGTAAGCCAAAAAGACGCCTTGTCCTCCCGTAGCGTGTGAAAGCGGAGACAAGAGCGTGCTAACGAACTCAGCAGCAGACCTTGGCAATAATTGGGTTGGGGAAATTGCAAGGCATGATCACACAGAGCGTTGATACTAACACTATCCACCTTATAGTTAAATAAATAAATTAAATAAATAATAGGCTCCAAGGACAACCTCCCCCAACCTCAGCACGGGCCGCTTTGAAAAAAAAACAGCTGAGCGCAAGCTGCAAGGTTGACGTAAGCGGAGCCTAGGGTCGTGGAGAGTTCGCGTTAGCCTAGACATAGGTGAGTCAAAAAGCTCAACCATTTATTCTGCATCTTCTAGCGTTAAAGTTCGAAATTCAACAACAGGAGTAGGCTAAACTATCGATCCTCGTGCTCGCTCCAATTGGAGACAAGGCTATGAGCTACATCAATGAACTATTGCCCATTTGCTAATCCAATACTGCATGTTAATTCACCTTTCGTAGTTTTTGCACAACCTGACCGAAGCTTATGACACAGAATATTTTTCTAAGTCAAAACGAATTCTCTAACCTCGGGACATAAGCGACTAATAATGCAGTGTTAATTCAAAGAGCAAGAGAAGGAAAAACACGTAAGCCAAAGAGCCTAAGAAAAACCAAGGGCGTGGAGAGAGGCAACACTGAATGCAGCATGTGAAACTGACCTCGGCACGCTAGAGATAAGAGTGGAAAGAATCAGAGCCAACTCATTATTGCTGCCACCTGTACTCGCGAGAAGGGAGAGTCTGGAGATAACACTCCCCCACCGCAACCAGACGGAATGACGAAATTAATGGAGACCTTGAGATGAACGGCGTGTGTAGACCGAGAAGCAGCTCAAGGCGCAGCCCTGAAGCGAGGGCGGGAGAGACCCCATCGGGTGTCTGTACTAAAGCTAGCAGTTGCACGATAATGGGGCAGAGAGAGTGAGACAGGGAGTTTCAGTTAAAGGAACCATGTAATTTCATAGAGCGTTAATGTTAACGCTATTCGCCATGAGCTATGTCCCGCTGGCATGGCCTTGCGGATACTTGAGCGATGTTAAACCGAGGGCCAAGGAAAAAGAGGGTCTCCCAGCCACCTTTGTCTTCCTGCCGTACATGTTCAGAGTATACATACGCTTAAGAGAGCACTTTCCCTGGAGCTAAAGTCAAGCGCCACGATGGAAGACTGACACAGCAAACACAGCAGACCTCGAGTCACGTGCAGAATCATAACTGTAAGTCTGTGATGGAAATGTTAACTTAAAAAAAAACTTAACCATTTCTCCGTGCGTCGGTAAAGGTCGTATCAGAGAACATCGCCCCTCCCTCCAGATTACGTAACACAGACAAAGACGCCTGTGAGATGATTTGAAACACCTGTTGTTTTGATGGTATGAAAAGAGGGGGCCTGGGTCTGGGAAGCGGTGAGAGTCGGTCACACAGGGGAGAATTCCGCCTCCCTTAAGGTTGTGCCACACAGACAAAGACGTCTTGAGACGATTTGTAACACCTGCTGTTTTTTGATGGTCTATGGAAAGAGAAATCAATAGAACAAGGCCGTAAATGACGCACACAAGGATACACATACACAAGGACACGCATACGGACACACGCTCCAGACCTAGACACACCGATAAATCCAAAAGAAGCCTCACCTTGTGGGGAGGAGCCAAGAGGAAGGATTTTGGCATAAAAGAGGATGCTGCCGCATTGAAAGTTCAGTTCGGCTGGCTCATCGGAGTCCGGTTCGGCTCGGCTGAGCTCAGCTCAGCTGAGCCCATCAGCTGAGCTCGCCATCTCATCAGCAAGAGTTCGGGGGAACTCATCAACGGGGCTCCTCAACAGAGCTCCTCAGCTGCTCAGCAAGGAGCTCATTACCTCAACTCAGTTCGTCCGGAACTCAGCTGAGTTCGGTCGGCTCACCGGAGCCGGCTCATCGGGGCTCAACTCATCGGAGCGGCTCCTCATCTCATCTGCAGGCGGGCAAGACCCGCTTGACAGCTCAAATCGCCCCTGCGTGGGTCGGCCTCTGTCGACGCGGAGGTCTCTGCCGCCCGCCGGGGTGGCGAGGGTCGCTGTTTAGCGACGAGGCTACGAACGTGCATCGCCAGCGCCGATAGCGCAATCGGTGGTCAACACTCAGCGACACAATGAGGGCCAGCTGCCAAGCCAACGTCACTTCCCGCGCATGCTACGAGCGTGCTGTGTACGCCATCGCAACTACAACAACGTGGGCCAGCTGCCAAGCCAACTCACCTCCCGCGCACGCTACAAGTGTGCTGTGTGCGCCATCTACCGACAGGCCATCGCAACTACAACAACGTGTCAGCTGGTCAGCCTACGTCAACCAGTGTGGGCCGAGCTTAATCAACTGATACGTATGACGCACACTGCTCCACTACACGACAAATCAGGCGTTCGCTTGACCTAAAGTCTCAACTCCAAATACTGACTATTCAAAACAATTCATATCACTCAAACATGCACTGGTCCTTAACCAGAAGCCAATACTCAAGTCCATAGGCCATCAGTGGCTGTGAAGGCATCACGGCAGATCGAGTGAACACTCCGTTGTTTATAAGTATATTCGTAATATTTCCTCCTTAATATTTTGTTTTGGGCTGTACTTCTAATCGCATAAGTACCAACTGATCCATCAATACGAATGAATCCTTGACACCTTCACCACGGAGCAACGCTCACGTGGGGGGGGGGGGGGGGGATAGCGTATCCAACCGGCTTCCTTATCAGGCGATCTGGTCCACAATTAATTAAACGTTAGTCCAAGATAAGGATATCAGGGGAGAGAGCACACCCCACTGCAACCCCTCACCCTAAGCTATTCTGGTAATCATATAATCTACCCAATGGATCTATTGAGATATTTGTGCCTTTGGGAATAATAACTGTTTTTGATCGCCTTTTTCGTATTAATATCGTCATATAATCTTTAAGTACTTCTCGTTACTGATCGCACACGCACTCGCGTACTCTACAGAATACTCAACTGTTCCGTGACCTAATGTGCTAACAATGTGATAAGGGTTGCTTATGGATCTATGAATAAGTGCGGTACTGCGTGAACAATTCAAGTATAATCATTTATTATATGGTTAAGGTTTTTATTTAGATTAGCATATGCATGTTTTAACGACTCTCTCACCAACAGAGCTCGCGTTACGTGGCGGAATTAACCACAGGTGCTGTTGTCAAAGTGAAACAACCCAGTCATTGATGAGACTGTGTTGATACTGTGTTGTAATTCCAAGCCGAGAGTTGTATCTTTTAAAGTTAAGGTTTAATTAGAGAATAAATTGATTAATGCAGAAGTGGTCGTGTGATTCTTTCCTGAAATCTATGCATAAGATCTGGTTCTGCGATGAGATATGAACTTGGTAACCTAACATAAACATACTAATCCATACTCAGTAAATGTTAAAGCGAGAATTATAGGAACTTGGGGACCTAACATAAACTCTAATCCATACTCGGTAAATGCTAAAGCGAGAATCATTGTATTATCCTGATCGATAATACGAACTTAAACCACGAAGCAGAGTTGACTCTTGACACTAGCATAACAGCATACGATTAATTGCATTGTCCCGATTGATAACAGACCCTTGTCAACGAGGCAGGGCCTTATTATCATAAAGGCTGTCATTAACATAGCCACACCCACTCCCATAAATTAATATGGTTATCCCTCAAATTAGCATAATTACATAAATTTACATAATTTCATATAAATTAGGCAGATTTCAAATTTCATTTAACTTTCATTATTTTGCATCAAATTTTCAGACACCTACATATGCAACACCATCTCGTGCAGGTAAAAACCACTTCTGTCACCAGTTGTAGTGGCCTTATTGACTACGGAGACTTGTTCTTTGGAGGCAACATGTATTTATTAGACACTTCACTCTACAGTGGCTAATCTGATACTTGAAGAGGTAACAGCCTCTTCACCTGTACTCTATAGAGGGAACGTTTCCCGAGCCTTAGCCCACGCTAGCTCACTGGTTCCCTCTATCCTGGTTCTCTCTTAAGAGGCAATTTGACCTGGCCCAGCTTCGGCGCAGGTCCCGATCACCGGCCACACGAGTCCGGTCCTCAAAAGGACATCGGGTCTCAAAAGGACAGCGGGCCAAAGGAGTTCCAGGATCTAGCTAGTTGATCTTCTTTCGTCACTGGCTCTTCATCTTGCTCGAGTCGAACTGCCCCTCAGCTCTCAGGGTCCCCCCTTTTATACAGTTCCTCACTGAGGGTTGGGGCTGGGAGGCATCACAGCGTCCCCCACAGCCCCCCAGGGTGGTGGCCGTAGCGGACGTGTGTGTGGCCACCGCCCTATAACCGCATGTCCCCCTCCCGTAACACCTCTACACTTGTGGCAGGTGAAATCTGAAGCAGTCCTGAGAACCACCTTCACCAACTTGCATCAAGGAGCTTGTTGAAGTATGGTCAACAATTATCATGACCAACGTGTGGTGGGGAGGCCTTCATACAGAAGTAGATTGACAAAAGGATGAATATTATTATTAGAGGAGAATGGGAAACGTTCAAATTGGGTTTATAATTTGGTTTTACCTTCAAGGGCTTCCGTCTTTATTAAAGGTGATGCGTCCACAGCTTGCGATTCTCCCATATCTGGAATGAAGTTCTTCTCACCTTCATCTGTATAAAGCATAATGCATTTGCGGGTTTATTTTCCAAACCTATGCATTCTTTTACAAGTTTGCTAAATCCAATGGCTAAATACCATAAATGAGATATTTAATATAGGAATAGGTTTTACCCTTTTAATTGGCACAAAAACTGACACCTTTATTCAAGGCATCATGCTTGCAATAACCACAACACAAGCAGTCAAAATGCAAACAAAAAAGACAACTCTGATAATAATATGCACTGTCCTTGAATTTGATTGGTCCACACCCGAGACGGCTTTCTTCAAGGACAGTGCATATTATTATCATAGTTGTCTTTTTTGTTTGCATTTTGACTGCTTGTGTTGTGGTTATTGCAAACATGATGCCTTGAATAAAGGTGTCAGTTTTTGTGCCAGTTAAAAGGGTAAAACCTATTCCTATATCTTGTTACTGGCAAAAGAGGTCTCATAATGAGATATTTAATGTTATAAAATAAGTTTATACTTAAAACTTTCGTGACTGCAGGAATTCATATTCTTGGTTCTTTTGGTAAAGTCACGTAAAAAATAAATTAAAATAAAATACAAATGAAAATAATGAAATTAAAATAATAAATTGAAAGTAATGAAAGCAAAAAACCCATGACGTTTCGATCGCAACACAAGCGGTCTTCATTAGGCGGAGAGAAAAGTGGGGACAAGCCTCATAAGCAGCTACATTTGGAAGCTTGCCCCCACTTTTCTCTCCACCTGATGAAGACTGCTTGTGTTGCAATCGAAACGTCGTGGGTTTTTGCTCTTATGATTATTTTTACTTTTATTTTCATTTTTTCTTTTTTTTTCTTTCTATTTACGTGACTTTACTGAAAGAACCAAGATTATAAAATAAGGTCGGCGAACAAGAATACAACTTTACCGTTCACTTTGTAATCTTCAATTTCATTCATCACACTGTTCTCAGGGAAAACGACAGTGTTGGCTGAAGGGGAGCCAACAGCGCACATTCCAGTGTTATCAATGTCTCCCAGCCTCTGCACGGACAGCAGCAGCTCCCGGCTCAAGCCGCTGAACAGCACGAGCAGCACCTCCACCAGGCCTCCCAGGTTCACGTCGCCAGGGGAGGAAGTGGCGGCGTCGTCCAAGCGCAGCATCCCAGCGTCGCGGGGCTCGGCACCCTGCAAGGCCTTCACCACCTGCCGCAGCACGGCGTAGAAACCGAAGGGCAGGCGGTCGCGCGCCGTGGCCAGCAGCTCGGCCCGCACGAGGCCGTCCCCGACGCAGGCGCGCAGGACTCCGTAGTCCCGGATGCCCAGTTCCGAGTCCATGGCCTGGGCCACCTCCGCGTTCACGCCCTGTGCCTTCAGCCACGCTGGGAAGTCCCCGCTTGGCTCCAGCACTGGGGTGGTCACCATGCATGCCATTCTGATGGGACGTAAATATTTGAAAACAGTGATGAATGCATTGAAGACAAGAAACTTCTCATAACCACCGTGGAGGTGCAGCGATGAAATCAGTTCACGCGAAGATGGATGGAAGCAGCATTGAACTGCGAGGGATGGCGACGGCATGTGGATGAATTCCTCCAGCAGTGAATAGAGAATGGCTGATGATGTTGAGTGCACATTGAGACTAATTGTCTCTTTTAAGGGCGAGATAGATGGCCTTATGAGCCCTTCTATCCGAATTTCATTCCAGGAAATTGCCAGCATCAGTGCCGAATGATGTCTAACCTGGTCCCCTGGCCATTGACAAACTGCTGAAAATCATGATCAGGTTTAGAACATTGTCTAGTTAAACATATTAACACAGGTTAACTGAAATGCATGTAATGGACAAGGGGAGGTAGCATCGATAGAATTGGTCTTTGAAGCTGCAGTAAAACCCCGGATAGCCGGACCGAGATAATAATAATTGCGAGCAGGCAGCGATATTTGTATTTGTGTCTCAGCCATACAGTGGTCGCTAGGGATGACATCATCACTACACCAGCCAATTAGCTGCCAGGAAATTCATCCTGATGTAATATGGCTGCCGTTGATGCACCGAATCACCACCCCCATGCGACAGAGTCCCCGGTGAAGTCAGTTGGTTTTGTTTTTTTAACAAAGTCAATTTAACACGCAGCTGGGCATTTGGAGGCAGTCCCTATTCACCATAAACAAAGATCCCCCGTGTAGCCTGTAACAGAATGTTGGGGCAAGTGCTGTTAGCGAGCACCTATGAAGGCCGGAACGGTACACGAGGGGGTGGGTGGCCAGCACCACGCCCGACCGCCTTTGTCTCCCCAGTGGCGATGTTTACACATCGCACCAGGTACTCATTTAAGGCTGAGTCGATCTAGGGGAGGCCCAGGACCGGTTCAAATAATCGTCACTGGGGTGTTGGCCGTGAGCGGGAATTGAACCCGGGTCGCCAGGTTCATAGTGCAGCGCGCTAACCGCTACACAATCGCTCTTCACACAGACACAGACAAAAACACACACAGACACAGATAGACAGACACGCAGACACACAGACAGACACGCACACACAGACAGACACACACAGACACGCACACAGACACAGACAGACACGCACACACACAGACACACACAGACAGTCACGCACACACACAGGCACAGACAGACACGCACACACAGACACAGACAGACACGCACACACACAGACACAGACAGACACGCAGACACACACAGACAGACACACACACAGACAGACACAGACAGACACGCACACACAAACACACATACACGTACACACGCAGACACACACACACAGACACGCACACACACAGACACAGACACGCACACACACAGACAGACAGAGACTATGTACGCGATTCCGTTTAGTCTCCGGGCCCAGGGAAGCTTACGACGATGTTACTGTAACGGATGATGATGATGTGTATTTGTTGTTGTAGTAGTAGTAGGTGTTGTTGCTGATGTGGATGATAACGTTTTACTGGTAGGAACGAAGTTGTAAACTGAGTGTACCAGCCTGCAATAGATTAATGTGTCCGTCCGTCCCCTTTCAATACTTTAACGAAGTGAAATCTCGTGCTGTTGGGTGTAAAATCAGCAATAGACAGCGCAGAGACTTGTCCTACCAGCCCACCCTGCAGACCTGTTATATAAAAAAAGTCAGGGACCGCGGCAATTTGACACCAACTCGATTCTGCGGCAGTGTCGATGAAACCCAACACCCAGGGACGCACGTTGAACTTCTTTCGCACAGCACGTCGCCCAACCGTGATAATTATAATCGGAGGTGCAGCGTTGAGTTGATGGGCAGTGTTGAGTCTATGGGTAGTTAGTGTATGGGGCCGTCCATAAATGACGTCACGCGATTTTGGACGATTTTTGACCCCCCACCCCCTTGTCACACGGCGTCACAAAGTCAGACCCCCCCTCTCAAATATGACGTCACAAAGCTCTGCCCCCCCCCCCCCAAAACCATATTTCCATTTTGAAAATAAAACATGCTTCAAATCACTTTCAATTATTGTCATTGTGCGTATTTAATCTGGCGCTGCACTCTGAAGTTGTAGGAGAAAACATTTATTAAAAGTCTATTTAATTAAGTAGAACGTGTTGTCTATATTTAAAGTTGCGCATTTTGATGTGGCGTCACATTTCTCAACCCCCCCCCCCCCCTCGTCACACATTGTCACAAATGTCTGACCCTTCCCCCCCCCCCCAGGTGCTTGACGTCATTTATGGACGTCCCGCATGATAATAGGGTTTTCCCCTTTCTGGCAATAAAACAGGTGTTCAGATGTTAAAACACCAAACCGAAACCTTTGCAAGGAATCATGTCTGCATTAACCACATATACTTGCGGTGAAAACGGTGTTAGACCAGAGGGTGGATGCCAAAAGACGAACAGCACAAAGACAACGCCACTACCAGGACATTGAGAGCTCGGGGTGAGCAACTACATCACGAGACCTCCTTTGCCAGTATTACATTATTGTCTTTGTGCTGTTCGCCTGTTGGCATCCTCTGGTCTCTATATATGTCTGTGTTTCGATGATTAATTTGGGTTTAAGGGAAAAACCATGAGCAATTAGTAATTTATGTCAAAATCTCAGGTGCGCGATTAAATCGCAAATCGGATAAACCACACGCGGATAGTCGAGAGAGTCTACTGGTCAAATAAACCACCACTCACACATACCAGTTGCACACAACCTAACCACACATCATCAAAGTCGGGCCTACTTCTTCTTTCGTACGGCTGATGTAGCTGCAGAGGAACTATAATTTCACATTCAAGGTGGCCAAGCCAGACAACCGCATTAGGAGCAGCAGAGTGTATTGCTGTGATGTCTTGCATCGTTATATGTTGTACTTGTGGGGGCTACCGTCCCCCGCCATCACCGAATTGTCGGGGCCGTTATCCCCCGACTCCCCCGTTAAATTCGTCCCACTACCCCCCGGCTGTTCTGTGGGGTCCGGGCTACCAACCCCCAATTCTTCGTCTCCTTGCGCCCCCGACTTTGCGGCTGCCCGCGTAGGCATGTTTCAATTGGATGCGGCCGCCTGCTCTACGCTTATGACGCGCTACGCTGTTCAGGGCGGCGTGCCGCGGTGAGCGCGCTCGCAAAGTAAAACCCCGTCCCGCACGTGAACAAACAGGTGCGGCGCGCCGACGTGTGATTCCCTCACACACACGCTCCACGCGCTCAGGCAATAACAAACACGACGCTACCACCTGCCGAGCCCCGTGCACCAATCACACGCGAGGTAGTGGGGGGTCGGGGGTGGGAGGCCAGAGGCGTCTGCCGTGCGCGTGCTGCTGATTGGAGGCGGGTCACTTCGCTCCGATTTAAAGGGCCGTTTAAACAGCCGCGCGAATACGCGCACGCCAGGCGCTTAGCTCGCTACCTCGCTATTAGACAATCGCGCAGGTGCACGACCGCAACACAGTCACACAGGCACGTGAGCGCTAAGCACTATTGTAAGCAATTGCACAGGTACGCGGGCGCTGAACTCCACCGAAAATAGTCGCGTAGGCACGCGGACGCTAAACACTACTGTAAACGATTGTACAGGTACACGAACACCAAGCACGCTCTGCCCTCCTCTTCACACTCCCAGAGACCACACGACACAGATTATCCCCCTACTAGTGATTTTATCTACCGCGAGTAACCCGTTAAGCTACGCGTAATTGTGTGGGTCAGTGGGTGCCAGCCTATTCCCCCTGGGATCCTAGACTGAATTTACTCTGCCTGTTGCTCCGCTCTCCACTCTCGATTAAATCACTCAAACTCACTTTTCTCTCACTCGCGCTTACTTCCACTCTGCTGTGCTGAATGCTGTAGAAGGACGAGGCTGTGGGTCGTCTCCGTAGAGGGTTGAGCCTGGCTGCGCTGGAGCTCGTCACACGGACGTCTCGAACGGCTGACTCTCCTGCTTCGTGGGCCGCGATGATTTGAAGAACACCCCTCTACTGTCTCCCTCACCTGCTTTTTATCCTACCTATCACAAAAGGTATTGCACGGACCCTGCACTTGCTCGCCCATGCCTTTTCATATTCGGGTCCATAATCCCACCTATGACAAAAGGCATTTAGATGCTTCCGTTCCCGTGCCGCCCTGCCCAATCGGAGGCCGAGTTATTCTCGTCCCTTTCACATTCGGCTCTGTAATATTACTTATAACAAACGCGTTCCACTGTTCCCACACCCCGGGCTGCCCTGTCCATTCAGATGTCGGAATGCTCCTGGCTCGTTGCTATTGGGGTCCCTAATTCTACCTATGACAAAGGCGTACCGCTGTTCCCACGCACCGTACCATGTGTGTGTGATTTCATCCGTGGTGGCTCTACGGCCTCCGCCGTGACCATGTAATTTTAGAATCAGGTCACGGCGCTGCGGTGCACGTCAGCTACGGGGGGAGATCGCCCAATTTCCCGGCCGCGGGAAACCATGAAGCTTGATCCCATTAGGGGCTTCTGGATAAAAACCCGTCGGCCAGGTGACCTCCCCTCCCGGCTCTACGTGGGGTGTGCGTTCGTGCAGGGGGGGGGGGGTTGTCACCTCCCGGTGGTGGTGTCACGGCGGTGGGTATGGCCCCCGATGGAGCTGCTCCGCTGCGGCGGCACCACATACTGTCTGTTCTGGATGACCACAGTCTCACACCTGAGGGTTTTTAATTTTTCATTTGTACATCAGGTATCTGCATCTAGGCGAAGAACCCCCGGGGCCAGCCCAGGACATGCTGGCGGCACAATGTTCCTCGGCTGGCCTGGGATTGCCTGGGAATTACCCTGGAAGAGCGAGAGTCCGTCGCCAAGGAAAGAGAGTTCTGGACTGCCCTACTCGATATGATACCGCCGCAACCCTCACCAGAACAAGCGGATTGAGAAACTAACGAACAATATCTGCATCTGCGTTTTAGGGTCGACCAAAACCGGGGGATCATCTGCGTTGGGTCTTTCACAAGGTATTTGCAAGTTCTTATGAACTCCAGCTTTCCAAGCTTCATCAAGGTTGAATTCACATTGTTGAAGGTTAAGCGAATGGGTCCTAAAGGGCTATGGAAAACCCCTGGATACATCTTAAATGTCCCCTGCATTGCAGAATTATATTTCATCTGCAAATGGAACGGTCTCGTTACCTGTGTGGAAGTTGATCTTGTTAATTATAATTATAAGTTGTATTTTTCGTTTTACCAGTTGCAGTCATTAAGGTATGCCTTGAACAAAATTCAACAGCCAAAATGATATTATTTGATGTCATGTCTTTTATTCAACAAAACCGCATAGTCGTATGCCTTACACAACACCGTGAAAAATGTCCACAGTAACACATTTCATCATTACAGCTGATATCCCGCACCTCAGATTAGCACAGTTAGCTACATACGGTGCGAAAGAAGTTCAACATACATACATATCCAATGTGGGTCTGCCACAAGCGAGCTTTCATCCCGGTAATGCAAGCTGGCCGGGTGGCTCACAAGTCCGGGTATTGAGCCGGTACCATAGAACCTGGGTTCGAATCTGGGATTAATCAGGCCGTGATTAAAACGGGTTCTCAACTGGAGTGAGATGGTCTCAGTCTAGCCACCAATAGCTGTACATTTAAAAAGCCCCATCACATAAAATTAGATTCTGCACTTAATTTGGCCAAATGTAATTCTGAAAATTAAAATGTTTCACTAAGTGGAAACATGGTAGGGAAAAGCACTACCACCTTACCCTCTACTGTGTGCACCATAGGCCACGAGGATGGATTTGATCTGCTCAAATAGGCCGTTCTCTGGCACAAAGGGTTGCACTTCTATGTGAGAGTTCTGAATGGATTATTTGCTTCAGGACCTGATACTGATAGCACAATTATTGAAAATCAGAATATGTATTTATACTGGAGGAATTCGATAAGCTAGCTCCTTTTCACAGATGTTCAGAATCAGAATCAGAAAGGGTTTTATTCGCGATGAAAGTTTGCACAGACAAGGAATTTACTTTGGCAGGAAGGTGCATACATTCAACATATAGGAATCTTAAATCTTAAATAAGTGGTATACAAGTCTAACTATACTAAAGGTACAAAGTCTAACTAACACTAAGGGGCTAAAGTATATAAAATTTTGAATAAATATTGAATATAAAGTAGCTATAAGGTACAATCTAAAAATAAAAAAAATACAAATAGGGTAACATAGTGTAAATATGGCAAGGTGTCATTTTGTAGATAAAATGTTAAAGTCAGTGTAAGCCCTTGGCCTTGTTGAAGAGGCCAGCAGCGGATGGGAAGAAACTGTTTTTGTGGCGTGAGGTTTTGGTCCTGATGGACCGCAGCTTTCTGCCGGAGGGGAGTAGCTGGAACAGAGAGTGTCCAGGGTGGGAGGAATCGGCAACAATCATCCTCACTCGCCACATGGTCCTCGAGGTGTGCAGGTCCTCGAGGGTTGGTAGATTGCAAGCAATCACCTTCTCAGCAGTGTGGATGATACGCTTCAGTCTGCTCTTGTCCTTGGCAGTGGCAGCAGCGTACCAGACGGTTATGGAGGAGGTGAGGATGGATTCAATGATTGCTGTATAGAAGTGCATCATTATTGTCTTTGGCAGGTTGAATTTCTTCAGCTGCCGTAGGAAGTACATCCTCTGTTGAGCTCTCTTGGTGAGGGAGCTGATGTTCAGTTCCCACTTGAGGTCCTGGGAGAGAATAGTGCCCAGGAAGCGGAAGGACTCTACAGTTTTGACTGGGGAGTCGCACAGGGTGATGGGGGTGAGTGGGGCTGTATTCTTCCTGAAGTCCACAACCATCTCCACTGTCTTTAGAGCATTTAGCTCTAAGTTGTTTTGGCTACACCAGGTCACCAGGTTGTCAGCTTCCCACCTATAGTCAGACTAATCCCCACCAGAGATCAGCCCAATGAGGGTGGTGTCGTCCGCAAATTACAAGAGTTTGACGGACAGATGATTAGAGGTGCAGCTGTTGGTGTACAGGGAGAAGAGCAGTGGGGAAAGGACGTAGCCCTGAGTCGTTCCGGTGCTGATGGACCTGGAGTCAGAGACTTGTGTTCCCAGCTTAACACACTGCTTCCTGTCAGACAGGAAGTCTGTGATCCACCTGCAGGTGGAGTCGGGCACGTTTAGCTGGAAGAGCTTGTCCTGAAGCAGGGCAGGGATGATGGTGTTGAAGGCAGAGCTGAAGTCCACAAACAGGATCCTGGCGTAGGATGCTGGGGAGTCCAGATGCTGTAGGGTGAAGTGGAGGGCCATGTTAACTGCGTCGTCCACAGACCTGTTGGCTCTGTAGGCAAACTGAAGGGGGTCCAGGAGAGGGTCTGTGATGGCTTTGAGGTGTGCCAGGACCAGGCGCTCAAAAGACTTCATTACTACAGAGGTAAGGGCGACCGGTCTATAATCATTTAGTCCTGTTGGCCTTAGCTTTTTGGGCACAGGGATGATGGTGGAGGACTTGAGATAGGCTGGTACATGGCATGTCTCCAGGGAGGTGTTAAAGATGTTGGTGAATACCGGAGACAGCTGGTCAGCGCAGTGCCTGAGGGTGGCTGGAGAGACAGAGTCCGGCCCAGCTGCTTTGCGTGGGTTCTGCCTCTTGAAAAGTCTATTAACTTCTCCCTCCTGAAAGGAGAGAGTCGTCTCTGTAGTAGGGGTGGGGGATGGGGCCTCTTTGGTGGGAAGAGGTAGTTCAGGACAGTCCAATTGTCTTTCAAATCTGCAGTAGAACTCGTTCAGTTCGTTGCCCAGGCAGGAGTCGTTAGTGGTGTGGGGGGCTCTGGGCTTGTAGTTGGTGATCTGCCTGAGCCCTCTCCAGACAGAAGCAGAGTCGTTAGCAGAGAACTGTTTTTTTAGTCTCTCTGAGTAGTCGTTTAGCCTCTGTCACCGCCTTGCTAAACTTGTTTTTCGACTCCTTGAATCTGTCTCTATCCCCACTCCTAAACGCTTCCTCCTTCTCCAAACTCAATCTTCTGAGCTTTATTCTTTGGTTCTTTCGGTAAAGTTACGTAGAAATAGAAAATAAATTACATAATATCATACGACGTTTCGATTGCAAAGCAAGCAATCATCATCAGGTACAAATGAAAGAGAAACAAACCTAGTGAACTTAGAAATATAATGCAACACAGCGCAGAAAGTCGGCTGACACAGCAGTCAACACTCTACCTGGTTGATTACGTCCAAGAGACAGAACTGGAGACACATACACAGACACACAAGCGGAAAGAGTTAACACAGAGACACAGAGAGAGAGACACACGCATGGGCACACAGAGAAACAACGTCTCTGTGTCGAGGCCTTAAATAGCTAGAGAGGGGTTACAGAGAGAGGGGGGGGGGGGGTTAGAAGAATTAGCATGTCAATGGGAGATCCCACAATGAGAGCTCCACCGCCAACGCTGAGGGGAGACAGAGACGGAGGCAACACTAAATCAAACTAACTTAGTAAAATTTGTAAATGTAATGTAATGCGACACAGAGTCGGTCAACACACAATCAACACATGGCCTGGTCGATTACGCCACTCCAAAGATTGCTCAATTAGAAGTTAAGTGTGAAATTTGGGAGAGAGACAAGGCACAGACATGGAGACACAAAGACAGACACACAAGCAGAGAGAGACAACAACGAGACAGAGAGAGAGGAAAAAACAGAGCTTTGCTGAGAACCAGGACTTGTTGTTGTTGAAGTTCACCCTGGTACGTGTTGGTATACAGCAGTCCTCACAGAAGCTGACGTACGACGTCACAGCCTCTGTGAGTTAATCCAGACTATTGGTAGCAGTCGTGAACATATCCCAGTCAGTACAGTCCAAGCACGCCCGCAAATCCTCCACAGCCTCACTGGTCCACTGTTTAGATGTCCTCACAGCAGGTTTACATAGCTTTAGTTTCTGCCTGTATGCAGGAATCAGGTGGACCATGGCATGGTCAGAGTGTCCCAGTGCTGCTTGGGGGACGGCGTGGTAGGCTCTACTGACTGTAGTGTAGCAGTGATCCAGAGTGTTCCCTTCTCTGGTAGAGCATTTAATGAATTGTATGTATTTGGGAAGTTCGTGGCTGAGATTACCTTTGTTAAAGTCGCCAAGTACGATAATCAGCGAATCTGGATTTGCTCGCTCCACACTCAGAATCTGGTCGGCGAGCATGCGTTGGGCCTCTTTAACCTGAGGACCCGGCGGCAAGTAAACTCCGACCAAAATGAGCGACGCGAACTTGCGAGGCAAGTAGAAAGGTTTACAGTTTATAAAAAATGATTCAAGGAGCGGAGAACAATGTTGCAGAATCACTGTGACATCTACACACCAGCCACTGTTAATGTAAAAACAAATACCACCGCCTTTCGTCTTGCCGGAGAGTGCTATGTCACGATCCGATCTTACAAGATGGAATGCTGCCAGTTGTAGCGCAGTGTCCGGAATCAAATCACACACCCATGTCTCCGTGAAGCACAAAACAGAAGATGAAAGAAAGTCTCTGTTTTTCACCATCAGTAGCTGAAGTTCGTCCATTTTGTTGCACAGTGCAGAATTATTGTACGTTGGAGAGGAAAAAGCTCGGAAGCACTGTTCGGATACCGCGTCTGCGTAGCTGTACAAGAACCCCCGACCGTTTACCCCTTGGGCGGCGTTTCGCTGCTTGAGCAAAGCCTAGTAGTTTTCACAGATGTCCAGTAGCACAAATCAATTATGCACAAATCAACAATCGTATTTCTTGTACCACTATTTCTGCTCAAGGCTTGTGCGTGCGCTGGTGACCTTTTAAGTGATGACTGCGCGAAAAGCTGCTGTTGCAAATATCACAACGGTAGGGCTTCTGCCCCGTGTGCGTGCGCTCGTGGACCTTCAGATTGCAAGACTGCGCAAAGGACCGGTTGCACATCTTGCAGCGGAACGGCTTCTCTCCCGTGTGTATGCGATGGTGATATTTAAGAAGTGAGAGCCACGCAAAGCTCTTCTTGCACACCATGCACTCGTATGGCTTGTTCACCAAGTTAACATTCCCGTTCGCTTCCAGCGACCTTAACGTGTCCAGCTGGTTAACTGATCGGTCGGCCTCTTCAACAGCAGGATCCTGCCGACTGCTAGGCAAATCCTCAATGGCGTTTGGTGGTTCTTGTCGCCCGTGATAGTGTTCAGTTTTTGCAGAATTATTATACGTACGTATTTCACTTCCAGTCCTCTGCCGATTGTGATACTGCTGCAGCCGTGAACACGAAGCAACTTTTTCGGAGTTTGCGAAGTTCAGTCCCATCCCTTGTAGTGAAACGACGTCTTGCACGATGAACCCCGAATTTTCTTCAATGCCACTAGCACCTGTGTGGGGGAAAACAATACCAAAAAATGTGTTACTAACAGAGCAGCATCAGAAATTGGGATTCTGAGAAAGGAAGGTATAAGAAGGCTGTAAAGTGTTGAGATGTGGGTTTTGATGTCAAATGGATTAATTAAATTGAGTGGAATGAAAGGAGTTACACAGTTGGAACAACCCACAAAAGAAAATATAAACGGATTGGGCACATTCTCTGAGAAGAAAGCTTGATGAAATAGGAAATAGGTCCTCAAAGGATGTTGGGTATATGTCAAGAGCCTTAACAAGAAAGATGCAGCTTGGATTTACAGAAAGGCGGTGGCAAACTGTACAGAGAGGCGAAGACATTTCATGATTGGACATGATTGAGGGGGTATGAGCCAAGGACCTCTGATTATCACGGTTGGCTATGTACTGTGCGAAAGAAGTTCAACGTCCATACATACAGGACAAAAAACACGAAAACAAAGCAGTAAACTCTGCAATTAAAGTTCACCATCTGCAGCAAATGTTTGATTTATTTTAGAATGTACCCAGCGTCATTTACACTCGACCGGATACCATGACTTGTCCAATTCTCGACTTGGTCGATTTTGAAAGTGATTCCAAGCAGTGGGTTTCTAGCCGTGCATCCACCATGTCTTTATTCTCTGATTTAATTTCGTTGCGATTATTTAAAAAAAAAACTGCCACTTCAATAACCGATTAAAAAACACATTATATATTTTTTATAAATCAGTTTTCTTTAAGTCTAACGTATATTACCTGTTATGTTACATGGATCCAAAACACGGAAGATGGATGAAATAGAAAAGCTGAAAAGTACAAAATTAAGTATGGAGAGAAGAAGATAGACAAAGAGATAGGAAGATGAAGATATGGATCAGATAACTTATGGCAATAATGGGAGTCATATTCAGTTTAACACGTATGCTTTCGCAACCAATGTTATCCGTAAGAGGTATTTTTGGGTTAGATCTTGGAAATTTATAATGTGTCGTTAAACCCGCCACCACCCGACACAGCCATTTTGTAAGATTTGTCCCATAAACAAAACGTGCCAATTCATTACTAGTTCAGCACACCGGTGTGTTGGAGAGTAAACCCACATTGACAATTCTGGTAACTACAACTGACTTCATCAGGCGATAGCCAGAAACGTGGAGAATTCCTCCTGTTTCGAGTAATATTTACTGTAAAAAAGAATGGGCTTGGGCAGTACACTCTGCTAAAGCGTATAAGGGCCGGTGGTCGAGGCTAAAAAGAGTGGCAGCCAAAGCAGGCAACACGTCCGATATGATGCCCACCATGGAGATGCAGCGATGATATCATCTCGTGTGCAGGAGTTTGATAGACTTTCATCGCGAGACTCTGAGAGATGGCGATGACTTTCGAAAACCTTAACCCATCGGTGGATTGATCATGGCTGATGGTGATGATGAAGAGCTAGAAACATATTTGTGATATGACTGCAAATATTGGAAAAATTGTTCAAACGTGGGCTCTATAATTCGGCTTTACCTTCAAGGGCCTCCGTCTTAATTGTAGATGATTCATCCACAGCGTTCGAATCTCCCATGTCTGGAATCAATTTCTCGCCATCCTCGTCTGCATAAAATCACAATGTATCAGCAGCTTTATTTTCCAAAACGAAGAATTTCTTCATATGCTAATGCCAGACTGACATCAAATAATGAACATATAGATGTGTTGCTAAATCCTCACATAACATACAGTAAAACCTGTAGTAAGCTGAAATTTGGGGTAAGCCAGGCTACTTGAATAATCACTGATGTATGTTGAACTTCTTTCGCACCTTACGTAGCACCGTACGTAGCTCACCGTGCTAATCGTAGGTGCAGGACAACAAAATAAACAGTATAAAATATACAGTATAAGCAAAACAACACTGTTATGCTAGCGTGGTAAGAAATGGTGTGCATAAGTTCACTCGTAATTCTAAAGCTGGGTTCTTGTCTGGTGTATGGAATTCGGTGAATCCATTCACTTGGAACCCCTCGTGCTTAGCCAGGTGTTTTCTTTTTTTTCTTCCCAACTTTGATTTTACATTCATATTGCAAATAAACAAAATAAATTCAAGCCTGTCAGAAATTCTCTTCAACCTTCCACAACCAGTAAACCTTAAGGCTTCCACCTCTGTTTTAAGGTGACGTTGACTCCGGTTAAACGGTTAAACTGTACCTAGTGATGTTATTTTGCATTACACTGTAAAAAATGTACTCGTAAATAGTTATTGGAATATATTAGATGTTAATTTCGTGTAAATATCATTCAAATGTAGTCCTTAAGTATTATTTTATTATTTGCATAATTCCAGACATCCCCCATAACTAAAAAGGTCCTGTTAATTACTCTGATTTTGAGAGGATCTACTACTATATAAGGATTGAGATATTACGACCAACTGCCTGCTTTTAATAAAAATTTCACGTGTTTAATAAGTTCAGCGAATAGGATACAACTTTACCATTCAGTGTGTAATCGTCAATTTCATTCATCACACTGTTCTCAGGGGAGACGACCGGTTTGGCTGAAGGGGAGCCAACAGCGCACATTCCGGTGTTATCAATGTCTCCCAGCCTCTGCACGGACAACAGCAGCTCCCGGCTTAAGCCGCTGAACAGCGCGAGCAGCACGTCCACCAGGCCTCCCAGGGTCACGTCGCCAGGGGAGGAAGCGGTGGCGTCGTCCCAGCACGGCGTCCCGGCGTCGTGGTGCTCGGCATCCTGCAGGGCCTTCACCACCTGCCGTAGCACGGCGTAGAAGCCGAAGGGCAGGCGGTCGCGCGCCGTGGCCAGCAGCTCGGCCCGCACGAGGCCGTCCCTGACGCAGGCGCGCAGGACCCCGTAGTCCCGGATGCCCAGCTCCGAGTCCATGGCCCGGGCCACCTCCGCATTCACGCCCTGCGCCTCCAGCCATGCCGGGAAGTCCCCGCTCGACTCCAGCACCGGGGTGGCCACTGCACACGCCATCCTGATGGGACATGGTTAATATTCAGGTTTTATCTAAAAAATATTGTAAAACTGTAATTTATATATCTAAATTAATTAAAAAAATACATATTTCCTCTGCCTAAAAATCAAAATTTGTAATCAATTTCTCAGTTCTGATATTGTCCCTTCGACCTCCAAACTTGCAGCTGTCACAATCCACCCTTCCTATCCAAGGTCCTCGAATGACCTTTTCATTGCCGACTCAACCAGAATTCTAGTGTTGCTAGATTTCACTTCAGCCTTTGACACTATCGATCACGACTTCTTCATTAATAATAATTTCATTTTATATATCGTCATTCATGCAATTGCATCCCACAACGATGCACATCAATTATCCAGTTCCGTACACAGATACTACGGATAATGATTGATCACTTGGCATGCATCACAGGGGGTCCGAGGGACTGCTATCCCTTAGTTCAGGTCTTATCTTACTAATTGGGAACCGTTCGAATCCATGGGAGATTTGAAATCTTCCTCCAGTGCCGTATCATTTGGGGTTTCTCAGGGATATGTTTTTGGCCCTCCTCTGTTTTGTATGTATATGGTCCCACTGGGTCATCTGCCCCTACATCTCAGCATAAAGTTTTAATTGTTGTGCGACGACACCCAAATGTACTTGTACACGAAGTCCAATCTCCCTTCATCTGCCTCTATGCTCACTTTGGCGCTGGCTTCCATCAAAAGTTGGACGCAGCAAAAAAACTTCCTTAAATTGGTTTAACACGTAGCAGCATTTCGCGACCAATATTATTTCATAATAAAAGGTGTTTGGGTTAGATCGCGTCAGTATAAATGTGTCGTTAACCTGCCACCACCCGACAAAGCCAACAATTAAGGTTTGTCACGTGAACAACATGTGCCAATCAGTTACTACATCAGCCCACTGGGTGTGCTGGAGAGTAAATCCACAACATTTACAATTTGAGTACTGTGACGTTTCGCTGGTAATTACAGCATCATCGGGCGATATCGGCAGAATTTGTGCTGGATGTAATAATTATGCTGGATGTAATTACTCAAATTGTTAATGTTGTGGATTTACTCTCCAACACACCGTGTGGGCTGAAGTAGTAACTAATTGGCACAAATCTGGCTGTCACCTGATGAAGCTAGTTGTAATTACTGGCTAAACGTTTCGAATTGTAAATGTTGTGGCTTAGCTCTTCAACACACCGGTGTGCTGTACTAGTGACGAATTGTCATGTTCTGTTTACGTGACAACCCTTACTAGTTGGCTGTGTCGGGTGGTGGTGGGTTTTTACGACATTTATATGTTAACGCGATCTAACCCCAAAAAAACCTATATTATGTCACGTTTTGTTTCCTCCAATTCAACGCGGTTAAAACGGAGGCGATATTAGATCATCATTTCCCCCAACAAACTTCAAAAAGCTGCTCTATTCAACAATACCACGGATAGCCAGGTCATCGGTTCGGCACAGGAAATCAGAAATCTAAGGGTCATATGTGGTCCCACACTGCCCTTCGAGGCTCATATTAAAGAGATCACAAATGCTTAGTTTTTCAATCTTGGGAATGTCTCCCGTATCTGATCCCTTCTATCTGCTTTAGATGCAAAGCAGGTGGCCGATGCCTTAATTTCAACTTGCATCGACTACTGGTGCTTAACTATCTGAAGCATTGCTCAGAATGCGGCTGCAAGGGTGCTTATCAGAGCGCCTTCAGATCACATTACACCCCTGTTGGTGTCACTGCGCTGGCTTCCAGTTTCACGTAGAATTCAGTTTAAAATCCTATTGCTAACATACAAAGCTCTGAAACAACCTTGCCCCCAGCCTAATTGGGCATCTGTGCAAAATAGCTTTATAGCTCATGAGATTCCTTCGGTATATTCTGACCTCAGAGATATCCTGTACTCATACATCCCCCTCAAGGTCTCGAAAGATCTGGGATGCAAATCTTCTCTGCGTTCCCAGGTCATACAGGCTTATTTTGGTGATGGGCGACCGAGATATTTCCCGTGTGGTCCCAAGGCTCTGGAACTCTCTTCCACGCGATCTCAGGATCTCTGAGTCAGTGGAAACTTTTAAAACACGTTGTAAAACTATGCAAAGGTGCACCAGGGTGGCGAGATGTTAACTCCCTTGCCTGGGCATACAGGAGGTCGTGGGATCGATCCCGACTCTGACACCTGTATTTATAGGGTGTTTGCATGTTTTCCCCGTAGTTGAGTGGATTTTTCTCCGGGTCCTCTGCGTTTAGACTGTTTTTGCTGCTATAAAATTTCCACGTGATAAGCCACTTCGTTGAGCTATAATTTGTGACCAGGCTGGTTCTGAAAAAGAGCTATATAGGGGCCGTCCATAAATGACGTCACGCGATTTTGGACGATTTTTTACCCCCCCCCCCCCAACTTCGTCACACGGCGTCACAAAAAGTCAGACCCCCCCTCAAATATGACGTCACAAAGCTCTGCCCCTCCCCCCCCAAAACCATATTTCCATTTTGAAAATAAAACATGCTTCAAATCGCTTTAAACTATTGTCATTGTAGTGCGTATTTAATGTGGCGCTACACTCTGATGTTGTAGGAGAAAAAAATTATTACAAAGTCTATTTAATTAAGTAGAAAGTGTTGCCTATATTTATTTAAAGTTGCGCATTTTTATGTGATGTCAAATTTCTCAACCCCACCCCCCCCCCCCCTTGTCACACATCGTCACAAATGTCTGACCCCCCCCCCCCAGGTGCGTGACGTCATTTATGGACGGCCCCTTAACACCAACGTTACACCATTGCGGGAGCACATTACACCCGGGTCCTCTCATATCTTCATTGGCTACCGGTCAAATTTCGAGTGGATATTAAGATACTGCTATTAACAGGCTTTAAAAGGGCTCGCCACCACAAGTTACTTGCATGAACTAATACATTTATATATTCTATCAAGGTCCTTAAGATATTCTCATCTCCAACTGCTCAGCACTCCCAGGTCTCTAGGTTTGCGTTCTTTTGGCGATTGGGCTTTTTGTTAGCGTGGCACCCCAAGCTATTGAACGCTTTTCCACTTGAAATCAGGGGCAATCAGAGTCGGTAGATAGATTTAAGTCTGCTTTGAAAACCCCATCTCTTTAAAGTGGCCTTCCCTCTCTCGTCTGGTCGGTTGCCCCTGGTTCTGTTTTTGGTTCCTGGTTTCCATGCAATGCGAATTGGGATCCGAGGATGGAATGGCGCATTAATACATTTGAATAAATATTATCATCATCTTCTTATCTCTGCCAGTCTTTGTTTTATTGTCCTATGAGACGCAGGCATACAACGCTGTACTGAACACGCGTGTTACTATAAACAACATGGGTAGCTGGCGGCTTTCAAACAAAGTCACTCACCTGAAGCAGCCTCAAAGTACGAATGTTGTTTGCGCTTGAATTAAGGGTTGAAAATTTTAGGAAAAGAGGGAGATGACAAACTATTAGGGGCCGTCCATAAATTACGTCACGCACCTAGGGGGTGGGGGTCAGATATTTGTGACGATGTGTGACGATGGGGGGGGGGTTGAGAAATGTGACGTCACGTCATAATGCGCAACTTTAAATAAGTATAGACAACACGTTCTAATTAATTAAATAGACTTTAAAATAAATGTTTTATCCTACATCAGAGTGCAGCGCCACATTAAGTACGCACTACAATGACAATAGTTTAAAGAGATTTGAAGCATGTTTTTTTTTCGGGGGGGGGGGGGGGGTGGCAGAGCTTTGTGACGTCATATTTAAAGGGGGGGCCTGACTTTTTGTGAGGCCGTGTGATGAAGGGGGGGGGGTCAAAAATCGTCAAAAATCGCATGACGTCATTTATGGACGGCCCCTTAACACCTCATTGAGATCAATCGCCGACGAGCACATTGCGAGTTATGTTTACCCAGATCGTGTCGCTGATGATGGCGATTCTCTTCTTGCTGTTGTCGTTGATATCGATCGATGTCGCTGATGATGACACCGATTATGATGTTGTTGTAGTTGACGATGTTTCCGTAGATGATGATGATGTTGTAGTTGATGGTGCTGTAGCAGATAATGCTGTTGTAGTTGATGGTGCTGTAGAGAGATGTTGCAGTTGATGGTGCTGTAGATTATGATGTTGTAGTTTATGTTGCTGTAGATGATGATGTTGATGGCGCTGTCGATGATGATGTTGTAGTTGATGGTGCTGTAGCAGATAATGCTGTTGTAGTTGATGTTGCTGTAGAGAGATGTTGCAGGTGATGGTGCTGTAGATGATGACGTTGATGCTGTTGTATTTGATGGTGCTGGAATGGTGATGTTGTAGTTGATGTTACTGTAGCTGATGATGATACTGATGATGCTTTAGTTGATGTTACTGTAGTTGATGATGATGATACTGATGATCATGTAGTTGATGGTGCTGGAGATGATGTTGTAGTTGCTGTACCTGATGATACTGATGATAATGATGATGTCGCAGTCGTTGGTGCTGTCGCTGCTGTTGATGTTGTTACCGGTGGCACTCGTACAGCAGTGCACTGCCCCTTTAAACCTAGGGACCGCGAAGATTTGACCAAAACCTGAGCCCGCTGAAGTTTGATCAAACAAATCTAGAATGTGCCAGATCTAAAAAACTAAGCGGGTGTTCATCCTGGATAGTCATTGGATGGGCGATCACAGTACATACAATTCGTGATCTGATCCCATCTGTGAAGGATGTGATCCCTGACATGCAATACCCCGGCGTCTACAAACTACATAAAATTCGTGATCTGATCCCATCTGTGAAGGATGTGATCCCTGACATGTAATACCCCGGCGTCTACAAACTATGCTGTGTCTGCGGCAGTAGTTACATCAGGGAAACTAAGCGACATGTCCTTGTCCGTGTTCGTGAACACAAGGAAGATCTGAAACACGGTAGGACCAATACCTCGGCCGTGGCTGATCATTGTTTTAATGTGGTGGGCTCACATGAAATTGATTTCTCTAAGACGAAGGTACTTTGCAAACCCACTGGCTATCAACAAAGATTTGTTCATGGAGCCATCCATATATACAGACACAGACACAATTTCAACCGAGAAGATGGGTACACACTTAGCAATCATTGGAAGGTCGTTATCAACCAGTTTAAGTCATAACTGGCTGTGATGTTCCCATCCTGCCACCTTCCGATGTTAGTTGTTATTTTTGGCTCTCCGATTTTACATTAACAGGTTAAATTTCTCACACTAACAGAGCCATCTCCGCACGTCGACCTCGACGTAGCGGTGGCTCTGCAATCTCACATTAACATGCTAATCTCTCACATTAACATAGCCACCTCAGTGCGCTCGCCGTGGAGGCCGCTCACCGATCTTACATTAACATGCAAATTGTTACCTGGCAGCCCTTCAATTGGTGGAAATCCACCGCCAATCGCGGTCGCCGCCCATCACTTACATTAACATTAGCTGCCCCACCCATGCTGCTGACATTTGGGCTACGCCCACTTTAAACCTTTATAAACAGTTTTCCTTTAGAAGCTAACCCCCTTTTCCTGATGACGACCGCTTGTGTTACGTTCGAAACGTCATAGTTTTTTTCTTTGAACCTATCTACGTGACTTTACCAAAAGGATGTTTTTACTTAATTTGCGCTATTTCAATTATTTTAGAATTATTGCGATCTTAAAATGAATATGTACATATGCATATTTATTTTTACAAGAATAACATTAATCTAGGTAAAAAAACGTGTTTTTCAATGCAGACACTTTTAGGTGCACTTAAAAGTAGAAGATACATTATTTTGATCCAAACATTTTTCAAATTTGACATGCTCAATAAACGTGGGTGGTCTCCTTTCGATGTTTAATTTTCTTAATGCAAGGCACCCACTTTTCTTTAGTACATCAAATTTGATTAATTCTGTGGTCAAATTAATGTATGCAAATAAAACTAGTTTTTTTACCTTAACATTTTTTTTGACATGGAAATCAGACGAATATATTAAGATATGCTATATGCCAAGGCGTGTCCTTAAATGTCTTTGCACAAAAATGCATTTTGCAGAACTAAACGTTTATTCGTCAAAGAGAGCGCTTGTGGGGGCTGATGCCCCCCCCCCACTCCTCACCACGAGCAGGGGGGAGGAGTCGCCACGTCTACTTGGTGGGGGCTGATGCCCCCCCCCTTCACTCCCCATTAGGTGGGGGCCGACCTCCTCCCCCTCCTCGCGCGTCCTAACCGCGTGGATTACGTAATTGTTTGACTCGCCGCTGTGTGGGGTTTAATTCATAATTTCCACTCAGCCGTTGTGTCAACAAGGCGACCGCTCCCGTGCGGTCCGGATATTAATAAATTAATCGGCGCTCGCGCGCGCCCCCCACCCACCCACTCACGCGTGTCTCACCGTTAACACTGCGGTGCACGCACAGACACTAGTGACACTAGAGCGTGTCTCACCGTTAACACCGCGGTGCACGCACAGACACTAATGACACTAGAGCGTGTCTCACCGTTAACACTGCGGTGCGCGCATAGACACGCGCCGGCGCGGGCAGCCGTTTATATTTTAATATGCGCGCGCGTCACACCCACACTGATTTATAGTCACCCACACACCGTCGTACGCCAATCGCTGTCCCACCGCTCTTCACATGCACACATGCACCACGTCAGTCTGTGCTAAGATGTATTTCCCGGAGCGAATAGGGGACCCCTGTTTATGGCCCCCTTCAGCCAGTACCCTTCGGACAGCGCCTAACCTCCTATCACCTAGCCGTCGCAGAGTGCGTTTACCCTCCAAGCTCGAGCTGACTGCGAGCTGGGCTGACTTGCCCCCCCCCCCGTACCTACTCACCTCTTCAGCTGCACGATGGGGGTTGGTGAAGATGCCCGCCTCGGAGACTTTGCCTGGGCAATCGTTTTCAGCTGCACCCTGCAGGTGTCTCACGGACGCTGAGGGCGGCTGGTATTCTCTCCCACTCCAGAAGAACTCTGACTCTGATCCAATTTGCCTTCCTTCCCCCCTTATGTTCCCAAAGCCTGTTAACCCCCGGGTCATGTGACATCATCCTGCGCATCCAATCGAATCCTCTTTGTGGACGTTTTGAGCGCTCTGACCGTTGGGGGGGGGGGGGGGGTCGCGTCATCCCCCCCTTCCCATTGTCTCTGTACCTGCGTTCCCCGCGATTGACTCACCGATAATCCCCTCGCTCCCTCCAACTTAAATCAACTCTTATCTGCCTAGGGGCTTTTCCCTCCCACCCCACTGTTTACACTGCTGCTGGGTGCTGGCCTTCAGGTCCCCCCCCCCCCCCCGTGTATGCTTCATATCGGCCGGCTTGTAAAGCTCTACGTCCCCTTTTTGGGGGAGCCATTATGGAATCCGGTCTGGGGGGCTCAGCCAATTTCCTGGTCCGGGGAAACCGTGGACGTCCCTGTCAATGGGGTCCTCGGGTGAAAACCCATCGCACCAGGTGATCCCTCCTCGAGACCCTACGGGGGTGCATGTGTGTTTAATAAGGCGTGTGTGCGTTCGTGGGGGGGGGGGGGGGGTGCAAGGTGAGGGTAGCGCCGGCCGAGCTGCTCCGCTGCGGTGGCACCACACGGTCTCTTGCATTTGCGTGCACGTTGATCTTGTTGATTTGTATTATGGTTATCGCGTTGTGTTTACCAGTTCCATTGACACCACTCGCACCCAATCACACATCATGTGCTGATGAGACAGTTACATCGATAACAATCCCAAAGATTATTGCATGCCTTGCAATCAATGTTGCTGAAATTATATACTCTGAAAAGGCTGATGGGGGGGGGTGTAATATTTTTTTCAAATGTAAAGATCATACAGATACATAAACGAGACATTGCAATGTGGCACGGTAGAATTAGTGACATTTAAATCGATTGTGCGTGCACGAACCTAATCTCACCAATTGCAAGCAATGCCACACGATAACCAATAAATGCAAAGTGTATATTCCGTAGTCGCTGCACGTTAATCGCATCGATTACAGTACAATAGAATACGAGTGTAGGTTTTCAGTGTGGGATTCAGCATGGAGTCGAGCATGCTATTGGAACTATTATTTATATTCCTGTTCCGTAACTCCCAAGGTGGGCAAGCACACGCCCAGGAGAATCTCATTTGGGGGCGACACACCTACATGACATGATAATAATTTAGGCGTCCATATTCACAGATTCATTCTGTCGCTTTCCAGGGCAACGCTCGGCGACACCAATAATAGGCAAGGCGTGGTGGCGCTTTACCGTCATGGGCTATGGGGGAAAAAAACACTGGCTACACATTAAATGTCTGCACGGAAATGGATTGCAGAACTGTCGTTTCTTAAAAGGGACCGGTAGCATGCAATTTGTGTGCACATTGATCTTGTTGTGACAGTAAATGTTTTATGTTTACCGGTTGCATGAACACGTGCAAGTCTTGTACAAAATTCCACAACCAAAAAGGGGTTATTATTGGGTTTAATGCTTTTATTTAAACACAGCTGCATAGTTAGTATACGTTACACATCACCATGCAAACTTTATACAGGAACACATTTCATCATGAAAACCTATATTCAATGTGGGTGCCCCAAGTGAGCTTTTAAATGATAATTATGCGAGGTGGCTGGGTAGTTGAGCTGGCTGCACTTAGTTCGTGGGTTAAAATCCAGGTTTTTATCCACTCATGATTAAATCGAGTTCCCACGTGTCACGAGTTGGTAGTCTCGGTCTGGTCACCAATAAATGCAGCAAAAAAATCCATAATCAAATTGTGTTCTGAACTTAAAATTGGCTAAATTAAATTTGCTTTTGACTGTCTGGAAATATGGAAGGGAAAGTGCTCCCTACCCTCTACTGGTGTGGACCATCGGTCACAGGAAGGGATTTTATCTGCTTAAAAACTGTCCAATCTCTGGCACGAAGGTTTCCACTTGTATGCTTTGCCTCATGAGATGACAATAATAGCAAAATTGGTATAAAAAAAATCAGGAAAACATGTAAAATCTATTACGCGCAAAGCAACCGTCGCATTTCTTCCGCCGGTAATTTTTTTGCTTAAGGCCTGTGCGTGCGCTGGTGAGCTTTTAAGTGATGACTCTGCGAGAAGCAGCTGTTGCAAATATCGCACCGGTATGGCCTCTCTCCCGTGTGCACGCGGATGTGCGACTTCAAGCTCCCGCTGCAGACGAAGCTCTGGTTGCAGAACCTGCACTGGTACGGCTTCTCCCCCGTGTGCGTGCGCATGTGGACCTTCAGATTGCAAGACTGAGCAAAGGACCGGTTGCACATCTTGCAGTGGTACGGCTTCTCTCCCGTGTGTATGCGATGGTGGTACTTCAAAAGCGAGACCCACGCAAAGCTCTTCTTGCACACCGTGCACTGGTATGGCTTCTTCGCCGACTTAGCAGCCACATTTAATTTTGGCGAACGGGAAGTCGCACCCATTAACATGTAAAGCTGGTTGTCCGATGCATCGGGCTCATCAGCAGCAGGAACTTGCCCATCGATTGGAAAATCCTCTATACCATTCGGGCATTCTTGTTGCCCGATGAAGTGTTGAGTCTTTAGGGGATTGGGCATAAGCAATTCACCCGGGGACATGTCTTGCATCTCTTCTGCTTTAAAGTTTCTTTGCATTTTACCTCCAGTTTTCTGATGCGGATTCTGATGCTGCAGCTGTGAACATGAACCAACGTTGTCAGCGTTTGAAGAAACCACATCTTGTATGATGAACCCCGAATCATCTTCAATGCCACAAGCACCTATGATGGGGGAAAACCATAAAAATGTGTCATTAACCCTTTGCCGTTCCGATGACGTACTGAATAAAAACTGATGACGTGTGTGGGCGTCGTCAAGAAAAGTGGGCTTGGGCAGTACACTCCGCTAAAGCGGATAAGGGCCATTGGTCGAGACCAAAAAGAGCGGTAGCCAAAGGAGGGACCACGTCCGAGATGACGTCCACCATGGAGATGCAGCAATTAAATAATCTTGTGTGCAGATGCTAGATGGATCTTCCATTACAAGATAGTGACGTATGGTGACGACTTACGAAAGCCTTCACCCAGAAATGGATTGATCATGGCTAATGATTATGAACTACAAACAATACCTATGATACGACTGCAAATATTTCCGTGATATTTAAGTGAAGGGAAAAATGTCAAACTTGGACTTCGATTAGCATGGTTGGCTAAGTACGGTGGCGGAAGAATTTCAACATACACACAGAATTTGGCTTTACCTTCAAGGGCCTCCAATTTTATTGAAGACAATGCGTCCACAGCGTCCTTAGTGTCCACAGCGTCCGAACCTCCCACGTCTGAAATTAAGTTTTCTCCATCCTCGTCTGCATAAAATCACAATGCGCCAGGAGCTTAATTTCCCAAAACTAAAGTGTTCCTTTACATATTAATGGCAGATGTGATATCATACAATTAATGTACAGATGTGTTGCTAAATCCATACACCACATAGATTAAAACCTCTCAAACCCAGACTCGAGTAACCTAGAATTTGGAGTAAGTCAAAGGCTACTTTAAATCACCACTGATAAATTAACAAAAAAATTACAAATAGAACTCTGACCGTAACACTGTTTGTGCACTAATTAAGTTAGTTTAGTAGGAAAAGGTGTGCGTATGTGCACTGGTCATTCTAAAGCTGAGTATTTGTCTATACTAGGTGTACTCTTGCTTTTTGAACTTTAAAATTACATTTTGTAAATGAACAAAATGTAAAACCTGTCGTAAAATATCTTCAGCTTTCCACATTCAGTGAACCACATCCTTCCACCTCTGCGTCGCAGTGATGAGAATTAAACTGCACGTATTTTTTGTATTTTGAAACTGTAAAAGGTAATTGTAAATATTTAGTTATTTCTGAAGTGATTATTCTGTGGGCTTTTCGGCAAAGCCACGTAGATAGAAAAAATAATAAAAATATCACGACGTTTCGATCGCAACACAAGCAATCGTCATCAGGTGAAAAAAATAGCGAGAGAGCTGCCGAGGCAGGATGTTCTAAAGGTTTGAGATGGGTGTAGCCCAAGGGTCATAAGCGAAGTGGGCGGGGCTAGTGAAGAAATTTGCATGTAAATGTAAGATCGGAGAGCTGAGCTACCTCCACGACGACGAAGCTTCGGAGGTGGCCATTGTATTGTGAGAGCTAGCATGTCAATGTAAGATCGTAGAGCCACCGCCACATCAAGGAAAATGAGCAATGGTGGCTGTTAGTGAGACATTTAACCTGTTAATGTAACTCCAGAGAGTCGAAAATAACTACTACACATCACAGCCAGTTATGACTTAACCTGGTTAATAACTTTTTGATTTAAAGCTTTCGTGACTGCAATGATTCATCTTCTTTGGTTCTTTCGGTAAAGTCACGTAGAATGATAATAAAATAATAAATTGATAAAAATAAAATAACACAATAATATTCTCACGACGTTTCGGCCACAACACAAGCGGCCTTCATCAGGTGAAGGGGGCGAGACTGTCTGGTAGGACAGCGCTGGAGTGAAAGAGCCACGTTCAGATACAGCCTTTAAGCTGTGTGAGAGGAACAAAGCGCCTTGACAAAGGAATTAGCATAGAATTTAGCATTGAAATGGCTGAATGATTAGCTTGTGACTGGTCACAGAAATAGCTATGTTAAAAGTTAAAGCATACACACCCGCAGAGGTACCCATTGTTAAAGGGATTAGCATAGAATTTAGCATTGAAATAGCTAAGTTAAGGCATACACATCTTGACAATGGAATTAGCATAGAATTTAGCATTGAGATAGCTGAGTGGTTAGCTTGTACCTGCTGCAGAAATAGCTACGTTAATAACGTCCTTCCAACGATTGCTCAGTTTGTACCCATCGTCTCGGTTGAGCAATAATTGGAAGGACGTTATTAACCAGGTTAAGTCATAAATGGCAGTGATGTTTAGTAGTTTAATAGTTATTTTCGACTCTCTGGTGTTACATTAACAGGTTAAATGTCTTTACATTCACAGGTTAAATGTCTAACACAGCCACGGTTGCTCGTTTTCCTTGATGTGGCGGTGGCTCTACGATCTTACATTGACATGCTAGCTCTCACAATAAAATGGCCACCTCCGCAGCTTCATGGTCGTGGAAGTAGCTCAGCACTCCGATCTTACATTGACATGCAGATTTCATCACTAGCTCCGCCCACGTCGCTTATGACCCTTGCTTGGGCTACACCCATCTCAAACCTTTTTCACATCCTGCCTCAGCAGCTCTCTCGCTATTTTTTTCACCTGATGACGATTGCTTGTGTTGCAGTCAAAACGTCGTGAATTTTTTTTTTTTATCTACGTGGCTTTACCGAAAAGACCCAAAGAATGAATTCCTGCAGTCACGAAAGATTTAAGTAAAGATGTATTAAGTTATTGTTATTTCAATATATTCAATGTTAATTGATTGTAAATGTAGTTAAAATTAAGCCATGTATTATTTTGTTTGTAGTTTGCAGGTATCCGCTGAAACTGAAAAGATTATTTCCCCAAATAGTCTGGTTTTGAGAGGATATAATTACCGTTTGGTGTGTAATCATTATTTTCATTCATCGCAATGTTCTCAGGATGGCCAACCCAAGCGGTTGAAGGCGAGCCAGCAGGACACGCTCTCTTGTTATCAATGTTTCCCATCCTCTGTACAGACAACAGCAGCTCCCGGCTCAAGCCGCTGAACAGCGTGAGCAGCAAGTCCACCAGGCCTCCCAGCGTCACATCGCCAGGGGAGGAAGCGGCGGCATCGTCCCAGCGCGGCGTTCCAGCGTCGTGGTGCTTAGCATCCTGCAGGGCCTTCACCACCTGCCGCAGCACGGCGTAGAAGCCGAAGGGCAGGCGGTCGCGCGCCGTGGCCAGCAGCTCGGCCCGCACGAGGCCGTCTCCGACGCAGGCACACAGGACCCCGTAGTCCCGGATGCCCAGCTCCGAGTCCATGGCCCGGGCCACTTCCGCGTTCACGCCCTGCATCTCCAGCCATGCCAGGAAGTCCCCGCTCGACTCCAGCTGCGGGGAGGCCACTACGCACGCCATCTGGGACACCAACGTTAATTCAAAGGGATTCCTTACTCAAGTGAGCAATCGACGGCATTCATTTCCTCTGGCAGCAAGTAGGCGGAGGTGTAAATCCACATTCAAATGGCAGCGGCAAGTTTTTCTGCTGATAAATTACATCCTAACCATTAGTTACCATTTAAGTGTCTAATGTCCATGCAAATGCAGGGCAAGAATATCAGTCCACTGTCTGTAACTTCTAAACCATAACTTGAACTTCTAATCTTAAGTCCTAGCTCTAACCTCTAATCCAAGCTTTTAATTCCTAATCCTAACCCGTAACTTAAACCCTAACTCTTTACTCTAAGCCACGACATCAAACCCCCTAATCTTACAAAAAAACAGGGTACTTGTCTGTTGCAAGGAATTTGGTGCTATTGTGCTAATCTTATGTAACAACCGAAGCAACATCTCCCTGCATATTTCAATGACTGAATTAGAGAGGACCACTTGCAACCTAAGGACTGTGATTGGACAAAAATACATCTGGTCTATACCGCAATTGAATAAAACCTTGAGGAATCGGGCCGCACAGCAGGAGGTGAGCGGTGAGTCCACGCGTGGCCCGCCCATTATTTTATTTACCACTTCCATCCGCGCCTCTTTCCCGCACTGCGCACTTGTCTCAGTCACAGTTTTGGAAAGCCCACAAGCTCTAACCTCTAGTAGCCACAATGAGTATAAAAACAAACGTTGCTGGAGAGCTTCTTGAAAAGGGGGAAAGACCCAATGATGACCCCCCCCGGTTCGCGAAAAAATTGTCTTCCACGAAACCGGTCCCTGGTGCCAAAAGGTTGGGGACCTCTGCTCTAGGGGATAATTATCACTCCTTACGTTAATAAACTGGCCTCAGGGTAGCCACTTGTGAGGTACAATAAACAGGGACAGAATATATCACAATACTAGAAGAGAGAACTGCATGTAAATGTATTATCTTGAGTAGTGGACTTTGCAAATTACAAAGACTGAAACCCTTCACTAGGAGGCCGATCCTGGAACACCAGGATAGGTGGCAACCCTTCCTTTTCCTGGTGGCATTGAGGTAAGAGCATGCAGCTCCCAAGAGGAGCGTTGTGAGTGTAAATCCGTGTTGAGTAGGCATAACGTCCCTCCGAAGTGGAACAAATAAGTACAGTGCCACTTTGTGAGAAAGCTACAGTTGTCTGGGTTGTGGAAGGATCCTGTCATGGTAATGTGGAATTTCCAACACTGGTTAGGGAATGCCAATGGCGATGAGCACTGCCCTCATTGCGTTGTTTGAGCAGAGGCAATTTGACGTTCACACAAGTCATTTTCATACTATTTGGTTCTTTCGGGAAAGTCACAGGTATAAAATAAAATTCATCAAATCACTACGTTTCGGGCACAACCACAGCAGGAAACAATTGTAGAAGTGGGCAAAAGGGCTGCTTGTAACAAGAGGCTATATAGGTAAGAGAGGGGGGAGGAGCAAGGGAGGAGAGATAGAGGGTCAATCCACTGCTGGATAAGGGCCCTGCCACGCTGTGCAGGCGGTTTTTTTTGGTCCGGTTCAATACAGAAAAATCCACGCGCCTACGGGAAGAGAGAGACTCCGCAAACTCCAAATATACAGCAGCAGCAGGCGTCAGGGTCGGGAACGAATCCAAGACCTCCTGCATACCAGGCGAGGTAGTTAACATACCGCTATCAGGGCACCCGGTGGTTTCGTCACAGGCTGCACATTTAGACACCTTGCAACGTAACCATATATACATTAAAAACGCCGGCCACCTGAGTTCGATTCCAGGGCACGGCTCAATCAGTGGCGAGCGATATCAGAACCCCAACCACGTGGGCCCTGCCCTTTAACCAAATCCGCGGATTGACCAGCGTGGTGAAGTATGGGCAAACACCCCCCCCAACCCACCATGGTGACCAACATCCAGCAGTAGATTGTGACAGCACGGAATAATTATTGTCGCGACACTAATTCGCAATTCAAGTCCATCAAGTTGACTTCTACCAATTGTGCCTCAAGGCGACCCGCACAGTTTTAACACTGCGTAGGCGGAATGACCGTGGCGAAAAATAACGTAAGCATCGCGAACAAACACACGACATCAACTTGTATAATGGGTGTATAGCGACACTTATAGCCGTCGTTATTTAATTATAATTATTATTGTTATTATTTTGCACAAATAATTAAATCCGAGTTACTTTGTCGTCGAAGATTGGGGTTGGTTGGTGGGTTGGTTGGTGCGCGGAGGTTGATCGCTCCGCTGCCACCAGCTGATTCAACGCGTTAAGGGACCGTAGCGATTTACCGTCGAAAAATAATATTACAAAAAAGCAAGCCGGCAAAAACCACTCTATCGTGTGAGCAAGCTCAGTTGGTATGTGAATACTGTACATTATCTACCATCGTTGTGATACATCGATAATCGCATGCAAATTTGATCTCATGAAAATTATTATGTAGACATAGTTTGAGACATTTACATGTCGAATAACATGCACATTCTTAATTTTTTAAATATATATTACACTACTAAAAACGTTTTTTTAAACAACGATTTTATTAACAACTTCGTTCAACTCGCGGTCGAGAAATACGTCAATGGCGCCTGAGATACGCGGCGCTTGCTTTTTGTGCGAGCCGATTCCACCGTTTAGGGACCGCGGCATTTTTGACCTACACACAAATATATATAAATAATAAGGCGTCCATACAAAATGTGAATTGCTTTAAAATAGCGAATTACAGTAATTTATTACTTGATGCTGATTTTGATACAGGCATGCATTGTCACCGGATCTGAGCACGTGTGCAACATGTGGAATTAATTGGACAACGGGAAGTGGACGCAATTTTGATGACAAGATTTGACCACGACAGAGGAATCAAGTTAAGTAAAACCGTAGAAAAAGGCTGCAAAGTGGACCTCAAAATGAGAAATAAACTAAACAAAGCTCACGTACACCACGCTTGCTAAACAAGCGGGGGGAAGCGCTCTGTCGGGCTCTGCCCATTGAACGAACCCCCTGAGAAACAGCAATATCGGGAAACTGTTCTTACTCATGAAGAGCAGCATTGCAATGTGCCTGGATAACCTTTGTTTGAATCAGAATGCATTTGCCTGCTGTGACTGTATGGCTCAGAAGCACAGGTCATCATTGAAGAAAATTTAATTTAAAAAAACTGTGGATTGCGTGCTTTGAATTCCGCTGGCAGAACAAGGCGACACGTGGATGACAATATATGCAGGTTAATGCCCTCAAACTGTTTCTAGACAAGTGGGATGGGCAGGACACGTCATGACTGTAAGGGATGATGGGAGTGACAGCCAATGAATGGAACTAATCCGAAAAAAACTCCCATCGATCAAGGAAACCAGGTGGTGAAATTAGTTCTTGTGCAGGTGTGATGACCAATGAGAGCAGGTTATGAAAGAGGCTGCAATTTTGATTCAGTGGGGACAGGAGGGGCAACCATTGGGCCAGGAAACAGGAAAGATAACCCATTTAAAGATCACAACTACGGGAAAAGAGCAAGCCAGTGATGGGAGAGCTATTATTACTTTACCCCAGGCAAAGCCCACCGAGCTATATAGCTCTTTTCCAGAAGTGACCTGGCCACATATTTATTGCAGCCAAATACTCTCAAACACAGAGGGAAAACCTGGAGGACCCGGAGAAAAATCCAGGCGACCACGGGGAGAACATGCAAACTCCAAATATATAGCAGGCGTCAGGTTCGCGATCGAACCCACGACCTCCTGCATACTCGCCGAGGTAGTTAACATCTCGCCACCGTGGTGCCCTTAAGGTAGACAGAGCGGGCCAGGAAATTGGAAAGACAAGCCGTTTAAAGAAAGAGGCATCACAGCAGGACAGCACGAGTGTGAAGACAATGAGCTTTTGCGGATGTGAACCCAAACAGGGCATTAGAGGGAACTGGCACGGTGGGAGAGGGAATCAAGGATAACAGTTGAACAGAAGGGATGGAGTTGGCGCTGAAGTGAGTGGAAGAGGTGGAGCAAGGCTCGGGGGGAGAGGGGACGCCGAGGACAGATTTGTAACCATGGGAATGGAGTGCTCTTGGAGAATGCAGCACGCTGGCAAGGAACACAAAAATATACGGGACAGCAGAGGCAGGACCGCGGAGTGGCAAAATATGGCTCACTTCATGAGACACGCCGCACGCAACCACATTTAGACAAAGATCTTTTATTGAGATTTCCGAGTACAGTGTGTGAATTGTTTATGATACAAGCGTCTATGTGGACCAGATTCGACAACTTAAAACTGTCATTAAACAGGTGTTAAAGGATTAGATCATAGGATCATGAGATGGTGGCAGCTTGGGGAGGCTTTCATCCAGCAGTGGATTGACCATGGCCGATTCCACAACAGTTGGCAGTCGGGCATTATAAAAATAAGCCATAAAACATTCCAGATGTTCTTTTGGTAAGCATGTGTGCAAACATAGCTGCCTGTCATTACCTTACTAAGAAACTAATGCTTGGTCTTTTAATGACAACCACCAGTTTTAACAATGTACTATGTCATATCATTCCGTGTTAAGTGAAATCATTAAGGCACCCTTTCCTCGGGGGCTTGCTTGGTGGGACCTGGCAGGCTAGTTTGAGGCCAAACTTGGTCTTTACTATATTTTTTTATATGGGAATGTACATGTATCACATGTCTCGTTCGGGTGAATTATTTTTCTGCCATTTAATGACTGATTAAACAGCATTTGAATCGAACCAAATCACCCAGAATCGTGGATGCTAAGCAGGCTTGAGCCCGAATAGCGCCTCAATGTGCGGACTTCCATGTATCAAACGGGTGTCGTAGGCTGCTGCAGGGCTAAGATGTTATTCAGCACGATGTCCGGACATTTCTCTCCCAAGTGCTGGGGAGAGCTGCCTCTGAAACCTCCGTTCGTTTCCAGAGATTGCGCCGAACGACCGCGTGGTTAACAACCCAAAAGCAACGTCGGAGAGTAACAAACCAGGGGGAATAACATAAAAAAAATAACCCGCCCACTACCACTGGCATCAGTTTGACGATGGCGGCGGCGGAGGAGGCGGCACACCCTGGGGTCTTTGGACCCCCTGCATGTGAGGGGGACCTGGTGGGGGCGGCCGGATCAGCATGGGGGGCGGCGGCGGCGGCGGAGGCACGGGTCCAGGTGGGGGTGGCCCAGGGGGCATCCCCCCGGGTGGCGGGGGCGGCGGAGGACCACCCGTGGACGGCGGCGGCAGCGGGGGTGGCGGCGGCCCCCCCGAGGGAGGGGGCGGCGGAGGGATGCCCGACGGGGGCGGGGGAGGGGGCGGCAGCCTGTTGGGCATCAGGGGGGGGCGGCGGCGGCGGCGGAGGGAGGGGTCCGGTGAGCGGGGGTGGAGGCGGGGGCCCCATGCCCGGAGGGGGCATGCCCATGTGGCCCACCATCGTCCCCATCATTGGGCCCATACTCATGTTCATGGGCATCCCCATGGGGGGCATGTGCACGGGGTGGTTCATGGGAGGCGCCATGCCAGGCGGCGGGGGTCCCCGTGGGCCGGGTCTCACGGGCGGGGGGGCCAGGTGTGGGGGCTGCTGTACGGGCACCGGCTTTTCCAGCTTGTAGTGGAACTGCATGAAGAACTGTGGGGGATGAAGGGTAGAAGGGGTGAGTAACACAGATGTAGTGTCGGGGATTAGCTAAGCTCAATGTACGTTACCCCCTTGCCGGCCTAATACACAGCCAATGCAGAGTTCAACAAGAGCCCCCCGTGCACTTTTCCGTCCATTTTTGGTGGAAGAGTGTGGGACCCGTGTATGTTACATCGATAATGTGACATACACAAGTGTGTAAAATGCTGAGAATTAAAACTTTATGTGAACAAACTCTTGTCTTCACAATGACAAGGTTAAACCTGTTTTCTGAACGCTCTGCATTTACTCAACATCTGACGAATAAAGTTTCTGGTCCTTTACTTGCTTGGACACAACAGAGGTGCACTCATTCGTTTAATCAAGTGTTTTTTCACATGGGCATAGTGCATCAACCAACTGTGAATGTACTTGAAATGATTTGTCCACCTTTGTTGATTATATAAAGACATGCTCAGTGTCGCACACTCAGATGAACAGACTTTACCATCCACGATGGGATGGTGACGGTGAGTTATCTTTCATCCGTGTCAAAAGTGCCAATTTATTCCATAAAAAAGACATTTCTAAAACTACAGATATTTCCCTTCAAACTGACACCCCCATATGCATTATTGGGGTGATTTTAGGGAGTCTAATGTGTGTAATTGCCATAACACCAAGGCAGCTAACTGACTGGAGGACGGACTGATAGACTGACAAGACTGACAGATGGACTCACCTGCTTGGTCTCTTTGTTCCAATGTGTCCAGAACTTTCCCTCGCCCTTGTCGATCTCACGACTCGGCACCTGAAACAAAGGTGAGCGGGCAAGCGAGCATCATGCACGAGCCCAAGCCATGACCCTCCCCATCATCAAGCCATCACAAGCACAATTACATCGTTACCATTCGCAACATCGTTATTGCTCATGCCACCAAAATACCACTGCCACCACAACATACCCCTGGCACCATCACGACGATCATGACCACCATCGCCACTGCGCTGTCACCACAACATCACACCCAACACCATATCACTATCGTCGCCACATAAAGACCATCAACACAACTTACCATATCATACCACACCGCACCACCACTAACATTGGATCAGTATCCAAACTGCTTTTTGTGTTAGTATGTTGTCCTTCCCCCACACCTCCGTTTAGCGCGGTTTGCTACATACAGTGCAAAAGATCAACATACAGGTATGAATGTCTACTCCTTGCACCCACACTCAGCCTTGAGTACTTCAAATTTGGGCCTCTGAGGTTATGGCTCTGTTCTTACATAGGCAGCAGCTCCTGAAAGAGAAACGCAAGACCCTCCCCCCCTCCACCCCTCCAACCACCTTCCCCTATATGCGATACCAGCCCACCTACGCGAGTGCTCTATTGTTAGTACGGCGACCACTGCCGACGTCGCAGCATCACACCTTGAAGGCAATGGTCTCGTAAGGCTCGGCAGCGAAGAGCAAGTACTGCCAGCGGCGGTCGGGCGGCTCTACACGCTGCTCGTAGGCCGACATGAAACGGTGGCGTGGCACGACACCGTCCACGATCTCCGGGTAATCGATCTGTGACGGCAAAAAAATAAAAAACAGACAAGGGCACCATCAGTGAAGGTGCCAGAGATGCTGGCGGCACTGTACTCTGCTCTACCCCCCCCCCACCCAGACATAGGTTAAATAATAATTACGACAAAAGTAATGTGACCTCAAATTACATTTACAATGCAATGGCACTTATTGTGAACTGCCAAATAAAAAATGGAGTTGACCCACGGCTGCTTCTAATTAAGAGCTTGCTGGGTGCAGCTTAAATATATTGGGTGGGTTCCATAATTTAGGCAATCAATTCAAGATAGTCTGAACATTACATATGGGGTGTCATTTTGAAGGTAAATGTCAACACATTTTAGAATAATATTGTACTGCCCATTGTCGATTTACTGCTGGAATTATGTTGGTCAAGGGTTGACTATACATCATGCTGGTCAGTTGCAGGTTGAAGAAAGTAATAAAAGGGTGGGGAACCTTTTTATTACCAAGCACCCAACATGAGTTTCAAATACACTTGGTAGGCACCGCGTTCACACACCTCAGTCGCTTCCGTCACTGCAAGAGGCCCAATCACTGCAAGAGGCCCTTGAAGTGCCGTAAGAGATTGAGGGCGCAAAAATCAGAAACAGTGTTGCCACATCGAATACATTCCCTTCAATTACCCAATGACTTGGCCAAGAGACACATTGACGGATGTCCTTTACAGGCCATTTGAAAATTGTCGGTCTCGTGCAGCCGTGAGGAGGATGAAGTTGTGGGAAATATCTGGGCCACGGATTACAGGTTTCCCCACCCTTGCTTTCATAGTACGTGTGCGCTCTTTTAAATCAAGACTGACTGGATGGAGGGGCCCTTCCCACCTGGAAGAGCAGTGACTGCTGGTTGGATTCGGGGTCCCTTTGCTTGGTGACTGCACGGGAAGAACAAAACGTGGGCAAGTCAGTGTCGGTCAACTGAACGACGCATCGACTC